GACCTGGTGAATGGTTAGTGTTAACGACCTGTTGAATGGTTAGTGTTAACGACCTGGTGAATGGTTAGTGTTAACGACCTGTTGAATGGTTAGTGTTAACGACCTGGTGAATGGTTAGTGTTAACGACCTGTTGAATGGTTAGTGTTTTTGACCTGGTGAATGGTTAGTGTTTTTGACCTGTTGAATGGTTAGTGTTTTTGACCTGGTGAATGGTTAGTGTTAACGACCTGTTGAATGGTTAGTGTTTTTGACCTGGTGAATGGTTAGTGTTAACGACCTGGTGAATGGTTAGTGTTAACGACCTGTTGAATGGTTAGTGTTAACGTGTTAATGGTTAGTGTTAACGACCTGTTGAATGGTTGTGTGTGTAAACGACCTGTGAATGGTTAGTGTTAACGACCTGTGAATGTATGGTTATGTTAGTGTTTTTTGACTGTGCATGGTTAGTGTTAACGACCTGTTGAATGGTTAGTGTTAACGACCTGTTGAATGGTTAGTGTTAACGACCTGTTGAATGGTTAGTGTTAACGACTGTGAATGTTAGTGTTAAACTGGTGAATGGTTAGTGTTAACGACCTGTGAATGGTTAGTGTTGACCTGGTGAATGGTTAGTGTTTTTGACCTGTTGAATGGTTAGTGTTAACGACCTGTTGAATGGTTAGTGTTTTTGACCTGGTCAATGGTTAGTGTTAACGACCTGTTGAATGGTTAGTGTTTTTGACCTGTTGAATGGTTAGTGTTTTTGACCTGGTGAATGGTTAGTGTTAACGACCTGGTGAATGGTTAGTGTTAACGACCTGGTGAATGGTTAGTGTGAACGACCTGATGAATGGGTTAGGGTTAGGGTTAGGGTTAGGGTTAGTGTTTTTGACCTGGTCAATGGTTAGTGTTAACGACCTGTTGAATGGTTAGTGTTTTTGACCTGTTGAATGGTTAGTGTTTTTGACCTGTTGAATGGTTACTGTTAACGACCTGGTGAATGGTTAGTGTTTTTGACCTGGTGAATGGTTAGTGTTAACGACCTGGTGAATGGTTAGTGTTAACGACCTGTTGAATGGTTAGTGTTAACGACCTGTTGAATGGTTAGTGTTAACGACCTGTTGAATGGTTAGTGTTAACGACCTGTTGAATGGTTAGTGTTAACGACCTGTTGAATGGTTAGTGTTAACGACCTGGTGAATGGTTAGTGTTAACGACCTGTTGAATGGTTAGTGTTAACGACCTGTTGAATGGTTAGTGTTTTGACCTGGTGAATGGTTAGTGTTAACGACCTGTTGAATGGTTAGTGTTACCGACCTGTTGAATGGTTAGTGTTAACGACCTGTTGAATGGTTAGTGTTTTTGACCTGGTGAATGGTTAGTGTTAACGACCTGGTGAATGGTTAGTGTTAACGACCTGGTGAATGGTTAGTGTTAACGACCTGTTGAATGGTTAGTGTTTTTGACCTGGTGAATGGTTAGTGTTTTTGACCTGGTCAATGGTTAGTGTTAACGACCTGGTGAATGGTTAGTGTTAACGACCTGTTGAATGGTTAGTGTTAACGACCTGGTGAATGGTTAGTGTTTTTGACCTGGTGAATGGTTAGTGTTTTTGACCTGGTCAATGGTTAGTGTTAACGACCTGGTGAATGGTTAGTGTTAACGACCTGTTGAATGGTTAGTGTTAACGACCTGTTGAATGGTTAGTGTTTTTGACCTGGTGAATGGTTAGTGTTTTTGACCTGGTCAATGGTTAGTGTTAACGACCTGGTGAATGGTTAGTGTTAACGACCTGTTGAATGGTTAGTGTTAACGACCTGTTGAATGGTTAGTGTTTTTGACCTGGTGAATGGTTAGTGTTTTTGACCTGGTCAATGGTTAGTGTTAACGACCTGGTGAATGGTTAGTGTTAACGACCTGTTGAATGGTTAGTGTTAACGACCTGTTGAATGGTTAGTGTTTTTGACCTGGTGAATGGTTAGTGTTTTTGACCTGTTGAATGGTTAGTGTTAACGACCTGTTGAATGGTTAGTGTTTTTGACCTGGTGAATGGTTAGTGTTAACGACCTGGTGAATGGTTAGTGTTAACGACCTGTTGAATGGTTAGTGTTTTTGACCTGGTGAATGGTTAGTGTTAACGACCTGTTGAATGGTTAGTGTTAACGACCTGGTGAATGGTTAGTGTTAACGACCTGGTGAATGGTTAGTGTTTTTGACCTGGTGAATGGTTAGTGTTAACGACCTGTTGAATGGTTAGTGTTAACGACCTGTTGAATGGTTAGTGTTTTTGACCTGGTGAATGGTTAGTGTTTTTGACCTGTTGAATGGTTAGTGTTTTTGACCTGGTGAATGGTTAGTGTTAACGACCTGCTGAATGGTTAGTGTTAACGACCTGGTGAATGGTTAGTGTTAACGACCTGGTGAATGGTTAGTGTTTTTGACCTGGTGAATGGTTAGTGTTTTTGACCTGTTGAATGGTTAGTGTTAACGACCTGGTGAATGGTTAGTGTTTTTGACCTGGTGAATGGTTAGTGTTTTTGACCTGGTGAATGGTTAGTGTTTTTGACCTGTTGAATGGTTAGTGTTAACGACCTGGTGAATGGTTAGTGTTTTTGACCTGTTGAATGGTTAGTGTTAACGACCTGGTGAATGGTTAGTGTTTTTGACCTGGTGAATGGTTAGTGTTAACGACCTGGTGAATGGTTAGTGTTAACGACCTGCTGAATGGTTAGTGTTTTTGACCTGGTGAATGGTTAGTGTTAACGACCTGGTGAATGGTTAGTGTTAACGACCTGCTGAATGGTTAGTGTTTTTGACCTGGTGAATGGTTAGTGTTAACAACCTGGTGAATGGTTAGTGTTTTTGACCTGGTGAATGGTTAGTGTTAACGACCTGGTGAATGGTTAGTGTTAACGACCTGGTGAATGGTTAGTGTTAACGACCTGTTGAATGGTTAGTGTTAACGACCTGTTAAAGGAGAAGGCAGGATGTCACAGGTTGATGAGGCTGAGTCTAGATTTGTAGAAACCAGTTATTAGTCCATGTGAACTGACTCTTACGTTGTTATTATTATTATTGAAGTTTCTCCAGATGTCGTTAAGGTCGAGAGGGTTGGCTAATTGTGTAACTATAAAGTTGGGGCCGGCATTATTCTGTGCAGGAAGTCTTTTTTTAATTTTTTTTTTTTTTTTTTTTTGACCGTTATTGAACCCATTTACATTCACCAGAATATGTTTAGTGTCATCAGCTTCAGCAGGTGACACTTCTATCATTAACCAATGCCCTTCATTGTCGATACTTTGGTCTAGAACTTTACCATGGAATGGATTAATGAAGATTACCAAACCGGCTGAATGAGATGTGCCACGAGAAAAGAACGTGTCACCACTGCCCATTGTGTTTTCCAAAACTAACGCCGTCATTAGTCTCCTGAAAGAAAAAACAGTTTACTTTCATTTGTTCCTTACTGAAAAGAAAGACTGCCCTGTGCTAACACCATAAATAACCAGAATAAGTGAACACCTCTCAATAGGCTCAACATTTAAAACATACCTTCAACCAAAATCATAGTTGGATTAATCTATAATTTTCCTGCTTTTTACTAAAAGTGTTCGTACCAACAAAAGGTGCAATGAGAAGGTTTTCCTTTGACGTAATCAATTGTAAAACTTTTTATTTTATTTTTTATTGTAGTTTGATTGGTCTGGGTCTGTCAGACCCTTTGACCCAGATACTCTCTTGTATTTTCTCCGTCTCTCTCTGGAAACCCGTTCAGTCGAAGGCACCAGCGGCGTTTGTTTCTGGAGTGTTCAAGGCACATGTCCCGGAGCAACCTTTTCTTCTGAAGCAGATTTATCTGTTTTCAGGAGGATTATTATGTCTTTCACTGCTTTTGTGTTGCTTCCACTGACTCCTTCACTTCTAAAACAGCGTCTGTATTCTCTTGAAAACGACGGTCCATGCCATGGAGTAGCTCACCTTGGGAGTCGAGCTTGCGTGTCAACTTCATGAGCGTGTAAAGAGCCGTGTTTGATACCTCGTCACCCCGAGGTGCCCGTGGGGTCGTCCTCTGCTTCTTTGGGTGAGGGCTTTGTATTGGGGTGTGCTGACGAGTCTCGTTTAAGTCTTCAAGTTAGGGGGGCGGCAGTGGCTCAGGTGGTAGAGCATTGGCCTTTACGACTCCCACTGATGACTGCTGTCGTTGTGTCCTTGGGCAAGACACTGAACCCCACTTTGCCTGAAGCCCCCACTGAAAGATCTCAGCTCCTGCAGGAAGATCAGTGAGGGGCTGGTGCTCTGACTGCCACCCCCGACCCAGACATGGATTAAGGGGAAGAAGATGGATGGATGGAGTGGTAGATTTAAGGGATCAACGAGAGATTCTTGATCCTGTTGTTCCATCCAGGCAACATCATTTTGGAGATCGGCTTGGCAGGAGCAGCCGTGGTCTGTAGCGTGCGTTGACATGTGTATGTTGAGAAAAAAGGAAAACTTTTCAACTCCGGCTTAAAATACAAAAATGTAATATCTTCGTTGTTGTTTAAGTTACATTTGCGGTCTGCTAACGTGTGATTGAAGGTTTTAAATCAAGTTAATATCAGAGCTTATTGAAAGTTTTACCGCTCACTCCGCCATCTTGGAAAACCCCCTAGCGTTGTCTGTCGTATTCACTGCTGTTTCGTCTTTTGTTTTTAAGGTGGACTGCTGACATTTAAGGTGGACTGGTGTATTTCCCTGTGACGTGGATCTCTGAGTGAAGGTGAGAAGCTGCTCTGGGTCGGGGCCAACAGGGTTTCTCTTGTTTTGTGGATTCTGTGGTAAATGAGAGAGAGACCAGAAAGAGTGAGACCAGAGTGAGAGAGCAGAGAGAGACCAGAGAGAGCAACCAGAGAGACCAGAGAGACCAGAGTGAGACCAGAGAGAGCTGATTTAAAGTTGTGACAGAGACCATAAATACATGGGCCAATTTCAAACTACTTTATTTCCGACTTTGTACAAAAACAATAGAATCCTGGTGTTGCTAAGCAGTGTGTTGGTCGGCCGGGTCCTGGATGGGTCTCTCCTCACTCTCGGTCTTCACGGTCTCGGCACTGCTGGTCTCGGCGTTGCTGGTCTCTGGAGCGCAGACTGGTGTGAGGACCAGGGGAGCGGCGTTGCGTCCCTGGTCGTTGTTGCAGGGGCTGAAGAACGGGACGAGCCCCTCCCTGAAGCTGCAGTCAGTGAAGGAGTGCAGCAACGAGCCCGAGTCCCCGTCGTAGAAGGAGACCAGGGCCTCATCGTAGTCCACAAACACCCCCACCCTCTGAGGGGGGGGGCAGGGGGTGAGCTCCACGGGACGTCCTGCCAGAGCCCGGTACTGCCCCCCCCCGCGCAGCCACAGCACCCACTGACCGCTCTTCGGACTCAGACTGATCTTTCCCTGAGTGGACATGGACTCTCTCACCACTCCTATGTCCCACTCTGTCTTCCCCACCACCTGAGGGGGGAGACAGGGTTAGGGGGGAGACCAGAGAGGGTTAAGGGGGAGAGACCAGAGAGGGTTAAGGAGGAGACCAGAGAGGGTTAAGGAGGAGAGACCAGAGAGGGTTATGGGGGAGACCAGAGAGGGTTAAGGAGGAGACCAGAGAGGGTTAAGGGGAGAGACCGGAGCGGGTTAAGGAGGAGAGACCAGAGAGGGTTAAGGAGGAGAGACCAGAGAGGGTTAAGGAGGAGACCAGAGAGGGTTAAGGAGGAGACCAGAGAGGGTTAAGGAGGAGACCAGAGAGGGTTAAGGAGGAGACCAGAGAGGGTTAAGGAGGAGAGACCAGAGAGGGTTAAGGAGGAGAGACCAGAGAGGGTTAAGGAGGAGACCAGAGAGGGTTAAGGAGGAGACCAGAGAGGGTTAAGGAGGAGACCAGAGAGGGTTAAGGAGGAGACCAGAGAGGGTTAAGGAGGAGAGACCAGAGAGGGTTAAGGAGGAGACCAGAGAGGGTTAAGGAGGAGACCAGAGAGGGTTAAGGGGAGAGACCAGAGAGGGTTAAGGAGGAGACCAGAGAGGGTTAAGGAGGAGACCAGAGAGGGTTAAGGAGGAGACCAGAGAGGATTAAGGAGGAGAGACCAGAGAGGGTTAAGGAGGAGACCAGAGAGGGTTAAGGGGGAGACCAGAGAGGGTTAAGGGGGAGACCAGAGAGGGTTAAGGAGGAGACCAGAGAGGGTTAAGGAGGAGAGACCAGAGAGGGTTAAGGAGGAGACCAGAGAGGGTTAAGGAGGAGACCAGAGAGGATTAAGGAGGAGAGACCAGAGAGGGTTAAGGAGGAGACCAGAGAGGGTTAAGGGGAGACCAGAGAGGGTTAAGGGGGAGACCAGAGAGGGTTAAGGAGGGAGACCAGAGAGGGTTAAGGAGGAGACCAGAGAGGGTTAAGGAGGAGAGACCAGAGAGGGTTAAGGAGGAGAGACCAGAGAGGGTTAAGGAGGAGAGACCAGAGAGGGTTAAGGAGGAGACCAGAGAGGGTTAAGGAGGAGAGACCAGAGAGGGTTAAGGAGGAGAGACCAGAGAGGGTTAAGGAGGAGAGACCAGAGAGGGTTAAGGAGGAGACCGGAGAGGGTTACGGAGGAGAGACCAGAGAGGGTTAAGGAGGAGACCGGAGAGGGTTACGGAGGAGAGACCAGAGAGGGTTAAGGAGGAGACCAGAGAGGGTTAAGGGGAGAGACCAGAGAGGGTTAAGGAGGAGAGACCAGAGAGGGTTAAGGAGGAGAGACCAGAGAGGGTTAAGGAGGAGGGACCAGAGAGGGTTAAGGAGGAGAGACCAGAGAGGGTTAAGGAGGAGAGGCCAGAGAGGGTTAAGGAGGAGAGACCAGAGAGGGTTAAGGAGGAGAGACCAGAGAGGGTTAAGGAGGAGACCAGAGAGGGTTAAGGAGGAGACCAGAGAGGGTTAAGGAGGAGACCAGAGAGGGTTAAGGAGGAGAGACCAGAGAGGGTTACGGAGGAGAGACCAGAGAGGGTTAAGGAGGAGAGACCAGAGAGGGTTAAGGGGGAGACCAGAGAGGGTTAAGGGGGAGAGACTAGAGAGGGTTAAGGTGGAGAGACCAGAGAGGGTTAAGGAGGAGACCAGAGAGGGTTAAGGAGGAGAGACCAGAGAGGGTTAAGGGGGAGAGACCAGAGAGGGTTAAGGAGGAGACCGGAGAGGGTTACGGAGGAGAGACCAGAGAGGGTTAAGGAGGAGAGACCAGAGAGGGTTAAGGAGGAGAGACCAGAGAGGGTTAAGGAGGAGAGACCAGAGAGGGTTAAGGAGGAGACCAGAGAGGGTTAAGGAGGAGAGACCAGAGAGGGTTAAGGAGGAGAGACCAGAGAGGGTTAAGGAGGAGACCAGAGAGGGTTAAGGAGGAGACCAGAGAGGGTTAAGGAGGAGAGACCAGAGAGGGTTAAGGAGGAGAGACCAGAGAGGGTTAAGGAGGAGACTAAAGAGGGTTAAGGAGGAGAGACCAGAGAGGGTTAAGGGGAGAGACCGGAGAGGGTTACGGAGGAGAGACCAGAGAGGGTTAAGGAGGAGAGACCAGAGAGGGTTAAGGAGGAGAGACCAGAGAGGGTTAAGGAGGAGACCAGAGAGGGTTAAGGAGGAGAGACCAGAGAGGGTTAAGGGGGAGAGACCAGAGAGGGTTAAGGAGGAGACCGGAGAGGGTTACGGAGGAGAGACCAGAGAGGGTTAAGGAGGAGAGACCAGAGAGGGTTAAGGAGGAGAGACCAGAGAGGGTTAAGGAGGAGAGACCAGAGAGGGTTAAGGAGGAGACCAGAGAGGGTTAAGGAGGAGAGACCAGAGAGGGTTAAGGAGGAGAGACCAGAGAGGGTTAAGGAGGAGACCAGAGAGGGTTAAGGAGGAGACCAGAGAGGGTTAAGGAGGAGAGACCAGAGAGGGTTAAGGGGGAGAGACCAGAGAGGGTTAAGGAGGAGACCAGAGAGGGTTAAGGAGGAGAGACCAGAGAGGGTTAAGGAGGAGAGACCAGAGAGGGTTAAGGAGGAGACCAGAGAGGGTTAAGGAGGAGAGACCAGAGAGGGTTAAGGAGGAGACCAGAGAGGGTTAAGGAGGAGACCAGAGAGGGTTAAGGAGGAGAGACCAGAGAGGGTTAAGGAGGAGAGACCAGAGAGGGTTAAGGAGGAGACCAGAGAGGGTTAAGGAGGAGACCAGAGAGGGTTAAGGAGGAGAGACCAGAGAGGGTTAAGGAGGAGAGACCAGAGAGGGTTAAGGAGGAGACTAAAGAGGGTTAAGGAGGAGAGACCAGAGAGGGTTAAGGGGAGAGACCGGAGAGGGTTACGGAGGAGAGACCAGAGAGGGTTAAGGAGGAGAGACCAGAGAGGGTTAAGGAGGAGAGACCAGAGAGGGTTAAGGAGGAGAGACCAGAGAGGGTTAAGGAGGAGACCAGAGAGGGTTAAGGAGGAGAGACCAGAGAGGGTTAAGGGGGAGAGACCAGAGAGGGTTAAGGAGGAGACCAGAGAGGGTTAAGGAGGAGAGACCAGAGAGGGTTAAGGGGAGAGACCAGAGAGGGTTAAGGAGGAGACCAGAGAGGGTTAAGGAGGAGAGACCAGAGAGGGTTAAGGAGGAGAGACCAGAGAGGGTTAAGGAGGAGAGACCAGAGAGGTTAAGGAGGAGACCAGAGAGGGTTAAGGAGGAGAGACCAGAGAGGGTTAAGGAGGAGAGACCAGAGAGGGTTAAGGAGGAGACCAGAGAGGGTTAAGGAGGAGAGACCAGAGAGGGTTAAGGAGGAGAGACCAGAGAGGGTTAAGGAGGAGACCAGAGAGGGTTAAGGAGGAGAGACCAGAGAGGGTTAAGGAGGAGAGACCAGAGAGGGTTAAGGAGGAGACCAGAGAGGGTTAAGGAGGAGACCAGAGAGGGTTAAGGAGGAGACCAGAGAGGGTTAAGGAGGAGAGACCAGAGAGGGTTAAGGAGGAGAGACCAGAGAGGGTTAAGGGGGAGAGACCAGAGAGGGTTAAGGAGGAGAGACCAGAGAGGGTTAAGGAGGAGAGACCAGAGAGGGTTAAGGAGGAGAGACCAGAGAGGGTTAAGGAGGAGACCAGAGAGGGTTAAGGAGGAGAGACCAGAGAGGGTTAAGGAGGAGAGACCAGAGAGGGTTAAGGAGGAGAGACCAGAGAGGGTTAAGGAGGAGACCAGAGAGGGTTAAGGAGGAGAGACCAGAGAGGGTTAAGGGGGGAGAGACCAGAGAGGGTTAAGGAGGAGACCAGAGAGGGTTAAGGAGGAGAGACCAGAGAGGGTTAAGGAGGAGAGACCAGAGAGGGTTAAGGAGGAGACCAGAGAGGGTTAAGGAGGAGACCAGAGAGGGTTAAGGAGGAGACCAGAGAGGGTTAAGGAGGAGAGACCAGAGAGGGTTAAGGAGGAGAGACCAGAGAGGGTTAAGGAGGAGACCAGAGAGGGTTAAGGAGGAGACCAGAGAGGGTTAAGGAGGAGAGACCAGAGAGGGTTAAGGAGGAGAGACCAGAGAGGGTTAAGGAGGAGACTAAAGAGGGTTAAGGAGGAGAGACCAGAGAGGGTTAAGGAGGAGAGACCAGAGAGGGTTAAGGGGAGAGACCGGAGAGGGTTACGGAGGAGAGACCAGAGAGGGTTAAGGAGGAGAGACCAGAGAGGGTTAAGGAGGAGAGACCAGAGAGGGTTAAGGAGGAGAGACCAGAGAGGGTTAAGGAGGAGACCAGAGAGGGTTAAGGAGGAGAGACCAGAGAGGGTTAAGGGGGAGAGACCAGAGAGGGTTAAGGAGGAGACCAGAGAGGGTTAAGGAGGAGAGACCAGAGAGGGTTAAGGGGGAGAGACCAGAGAGGGTTAAGGAGGAGACCAGAGAGGGTTAAGGAGGAGAGACCAGAGAGGGTTAAGGAGGAGACCAGAGAGGGTTAAGGAGGAGAGACCAGAGAGGGTTAAGGAGGAGAGACCAGAGAGGGTTAAGGAGGAGACCAGAGAGGGTTAAGGAGGAGAGACCAGAGAGGGTTAAGGGGGAGAGACCAGAGAGGGTTAAGGAGGAGACCAGAGAGGGTTAAGGAGGAGAGACCAGAGAGGGTTAAGGAGGAGAGACCAGAGAGGGTTAAGGAGGAGACCAGAGAGGGTTAAGGAGGAGACCAGAGAGGGTTAAGGAGGAGACCAGAGAGGGTTAAGGAGGAGAGACCAGAGAGGGTTAAGGAGGAGAGACCAGAGAGGGTTAAGGAGGGACCAGAGAGGGTTAAGGAGGAGAGACCAGAGAGGGTTAAGGAGGAGAGACCAGAGAGGGTTAAGGAGGAGAGACCAGAGAGGGTTAAGGAGGAGACCAGAGAGGGTTAAGGAGGAGAGACCAGAGAGGGTTAAGGAGGAGAGACCAGAGAGGGTTAAGGAGGAGACCAGAGAGGGTTAAGGAGGAGAGACCAGAGAGGGTTAAGGAGGAGAGACCAGAGAGGGTTAAGGAGGAGAGACCAGAGAGGGTTAAGGAGGAGAGACCAGAGAGGGTTAAGGAGGAGACCAGAGAGGGTTAAGGAGGAGACCAGAGAGGGTTAAGGAGGAGAGACCAGGTAGAGACCAATGAGAGACCCATGAGAGACTAGAGAAACCAGGGGGAGACCAGAGAGGGACAAGAGAGACCAGGGAGAGAACAGAGAGGGACCAGAGAGGGTTAAGGAGGAGAGACCAGAGAGGGTTAAGGGGGAGACCAGAGAGGGTTAAGGAGGAGAGACCAGAGAGGGTTAAGGAGGAGAGACCAGAGAGGGTTAAGGAGGAGAGACCAGAGAGGGTTAAGGAGGAGAGACCAGAGAGGGTTAAGGAGGAGAGACCAGAGAGGGTTAAGGAGGAGAGACCAGAGAGGGTTAAGGGGAGAGACCAGAGAGGGTTAAGGAGGAGAGACCAGAGAGGGTTAAGGAGGAGACCAGAGAGGGTTAAGGAGGAGACCAGAGAGGGTTAAGGGGAGAGACCAGAGAGGGTTAAGGGGAGAGACCAGAGAGGGTTAAGGGGAGAGACCAGAGAGGGTTAAGGGGAGAGACCAGAGAGGGTTAAGGGGAGAGACCAGAGAGGGTTAAGGAGGAGAGACCAGAGAGGGTTAAGGAGGAGAGACCAGAGGGTTAAGGAGGAGACCAGAGAGGGTTAAGGAGGAGAGACCAGAGAGGGTTAAGGAGGAGAGACCAGAGAGGGTTAAGGAGGAGACCAGAGAGGGTTAAGGAGGAGACCAGAGAGGGTTAAGGGGGAGAGACCAGAGAGGGTTAAGGAGGAGACCAGAGAGGGTTAAGGAGGAGACCAGAGAGGGTTAAGGAGGAGACCAGAGAGGGTTAAGGAGGAGACCAGAGAGGGTTAAGGAGGAGAGACCAGAGAGGGTTAAGGAGGAGAGACCAGAGAGGGTTAAGGAGGGAGACCAGAGAGGGTTAAGGAGGAGAGACCAGAGAGGGTTACGGAGGAGAGACCAGAGAGGGTTAAGGAGGAGAGACCAGAGAGGGTTAAGGAGGAGAGACCAGAGAGGGTTAAGGAGAAGAGACCAGAGAGGGTTAAGGAGGAGAGACCAGAGAGGGTTAAGGAGGAGAGACCAGAGAGGGTTAAGGAGGAGACCAGAGAGGGTTAAGGAGGAGACCAGAGAGGGTTAAGGAGGAGAGACCAGAGAGGGTTAAGGAGGAGAGACCAGAGAGGGTTAAGGAGGAGAGACCAGAGAGGGTTAAGGAGGAGACCAGAGAGGGTTAAGGAGGAGAGACCAGAGAGGGTTAAGGGGGAGAGACCAGAGAGGGTTAAGGAGGAGAGACCAGAGAGGGTTAAGGAGGAGAGACCAGAGAGGGTTAAGGAGGAGAGACCAGAGAGGGTTAAGGAGGAGAGACCAGAGAGGGTTAAGGAGGAGAGACCAGAGAGGGTTAAGGAGGAGACCAGAGAGGGTTAAGGAGGAGAGACCAGAGAGGGTTAAGGAGGAGAGACCAGGTAGAGACCAATGAGAGACTAGAGAAACCAGGGGGAGACCAGAGAGGGACAAGAGAGACCAGGGAGAGAACAGAGAGGGACCAGAGAGGGTTAAGGAGGAGAGACCAGAGAGGGTTAAGGAGGAGAGACCAGAGAGGGTTAAGGAGGAGAGACCAGAGAGGGTTAAGGAGGAGAGACCAGAGAGGGTTAAGGAGGAGAGACCAGAGAGGGTTAAGGAGGAGAGACCAGAGAGGGTTAAGGGGAGACCAGAGAGGGTTAAGGAGGAGAGACCAGAGAGGGTTAAGGAGGAGAGACCAGAGAGGGTTAAGGAGGAGAGACCAGAGAGGGTTAAGGAGGAGAGACCAGAGAGGGTTAAGGAGGAGAGACCAGAGAGGGTTAAGGAGGAGAGACCAGAGAGGGTTAAGGGGAGAGACCAGAGAGGGTTAAGGGGAGAGACCAGAGAGGGTTAAGGAGGAGAGACCAGAGAGGGTTAAGGAGGAGAGACCAGAGGGTTAAGGAGGAGACCAGAGAGGGTTAAGGAGGAGAGACCAGAGAGGGTTAAGGAGGAGAGACCAGAGAGGGTTAAGGAGGAGAGACCAGAGAGGGTTAAGGAGGAGAGACCAGAGAGGGTTAAGGAGGAGATACCAGAGAGGGACAAGAGAGACCAGGTAGAGACCAATGAGAGACCAATGAGAGACTAGAGAAACCAGGGGGAGACCAGCTCTCTCTGATCTCTCTTTGATCTCTCTCTGGTCTCTCTCTGGTCCCTGATGGTGGGGGTCTTCTCATTGATTAAGGAAAAATAACTGTTAATCATCAAAGAATTTATTGTGTAGAAAAAAAAAAAGAGTACAACATTGTGTCCAGTGAAACAATCAATATTCAGAAAACCAGTAAAAGAGACATCTGGTGCCTAAGACCAGGAACAGTTATATAAATACATGGGACAACACACACACACACACACTCCTTGTTTCCTGGTACTGATCTGGTCAAACAGGTCCGGGAATCTGGTCTGACAGCATATCATACCAGGTTACATTAGTTTAGACTGAAGTCCTCCTTTAGTCCTGCTGTAGACCTGCTTTAGTCCTGCTTTAGACCTGCTTTAGTCCTGCTTTAGTCCTGGTTTAGTCCTGCTTTAGACCTGCTTTAGTCCTGCTTTAGTCCTGCTTTAGTCCTGCTTTAGTCCTGCTTTAGTCCTGCTTTAGTGATTTTTAAGCAACTGTGGTTAAAGTTCAAACTCTTCATTCTCACATTTGCACGAGCCAGTACTTGTTTTGTTTAAGGTTGAAGCTCCAAGCGCACTGATTGGAGCTCTCTGTTTCTCCTGAGTATATTACCACTTTATCCCTTGTTCGTGCGTCTACCATCAACAATAAAACATATCTTCTGTCTGATTTAAAGACACGATCCCAGACTTTGGCTGATTCCTAACACTACTTTAGTCCTGCTTTAGTCCCGCTTTAAGTTTCAGACTCTAGGTTTAGAGTTTTGATTATTTGGCATACTTCGTTTACTCAAACTTTATGTAATCCATCACCATAGAAACATATGTTTATGTTTTGGTCCTTACAAACTACAAAAAGTTGTTTCAAAGTTTATATCAGAGTAATTATATGCTACGCATAACGTCCCTCTTTTGTCTGTTCCTTTATAAACCCCTGTTGTTTCCTTTTGCGACCATATTATGTTTTATGTTATATTAGTGTAAAGTCTGGTATTGCTTGCACTTGTATATAAATGTAGGCGAGAGAACTAGCTTGAGAGAGAACTAAATGATATACAGATTGGGGGGGTGTAAAAAAAATTACAAATGAAATCGACCCGCCTGTAGGTTACTTCTTGGTTCGCTTGGAGTTGACAGTCCCTGTGCTAAATGGTTGTACAGCAGAGATTCAGAGAGGATCCAGGGACAGCCTCCAGGGATGACCTGTGTGTGGTGTTTTTAGAGGGCTCAGCGGAGGGCAGAGGGTCACTGAGGATCCTTCAGTGAGGAGTGCAAACCCGGGGAACAGGGGCTGGGTGAAGGTGGTGTTGTAGGTGTGGAGAAGGGTCAGTCCTTCAGAGGAGACCGTGTAGAAGGAAAGAGATCCAGCCCGATGGTCCACAAACACAGCCACTCTCCCTGAAGAGCACCTCGGCTGAGGGAGGCGGGTTCGAACATGATTATGACAAACATGAACAGCATCGTTAGAACACATCAGACTCCAGGACTCATGGCTGTATCCAAATCTGGATCCTTTACGGCAGATGCCTCGGTAACTCACTGATATACAGACTCGGCCGCTCCAGCACACCTCCCAGTAGCAGCGCACATGCAGACTGCTGGAGCCCAGAATCTGGGTGAAGGTGTCAAATCTGTCCTGGTGCTCTGGATAGAGCTGCTCCTCACTCACAAAGGTCACCTCCTTGTTGTTGTCGGAAAGTCTTAGTTTTCTGTGAGCAGTGTTTGGATCCAGAGTGAGATCACAGAAATCTGAGGAAAAGCAAACAACACAAACACAATCAACGGCCTCCTGATGGTCGGGTAAAAGAATCTGGAACAAAGCGGTTTGATGTCAACAGTACGTAGCACTTACATCTCGTGGGTCCTGGACTGAGAAACCAAGGTCCGGCAGGCTCCAATCTGAACACACAAGATACATCTGTGTTTCATTCTAAAACTATGGGAATAACACGACCATCGACCTCATGTAGAACATGATCCACTTGTTCCACTGGGTTCGTCTGTACCTGAGAGTGTGCAGGGTGCAGTGGGGGTCCTCCAGCAGAGCAGACAGCAGCTTTACTCCTGTGTCTCCTGGATGGTTGTAGCTCAGGTCCAGTTCTTTCAGATGGGAGGGGTTGGACCTCAGAGCTGAGGCCAGAGAAGCACAGCCTTCCTCTGACACCAAACAACCTGACAGACTGAACACACACATCTAATATAATCTCAGCTGAAGTTCATTCATAGAGGTTTCATGTTTCATACGAAAAGACGAAGTTCTGACCTGAGCGTCTCCAGTTTACAGTGAGGACTCTTCAGTCCATCAGACAACAGCTTCAGCCCTGAGTCCTTCAAGTCGTTGTGACTCAGGTCCAGGACTCTCAGACTAGAGGACTGGGAGCTGAGGACTGAGGCCAGAGCTCCACAGCTTCTGTCTGACAGCTCACAGCGGCTCAGTCTGGAGACAGAAAACATGGTTATGTAGAAGTTGAATGAATCCTGTGTTAAACAAAGGTTACTCACAGAGCTTTGGTGGAGGCCTTGACCACTGGCAGCAGCCTCAGGAGAGCCTCCTCTGAAGCACAGTATCTGCTCAGCTCAAACTGGTCCAGATCTTCTTCTGATGACAGTAAGATGAAGGCCAGAGCTGACCACTGAGCAGGAGACAGTCCTTCAGACAGTCGTCCTGACCTCAGGGTCTGTTGGACCTGCTCCACCAGAGAAGAATCATTCAGTTCATTCAGACAGTGGAGCAGACTGATGCTCCTCTCTGCAGACACATCCTTACTCAGCTTCTTCTTTATGTACTCTGCTGTCTTCTGATTGGTCTGGGAGCTACTTCCTGTCTGTGTCAGCAGACCGTTTAGAAGGCTCTGATTGGTCGACACTGAAAGGCCCAGGAGGAAGCGGAGGAGCAGGTCCAGGTGTCCGTTTGGACTCAGTAAGGCCTGGTCCACAGCTGACTGATGAAAATGATGCAGTTTTCTTTTCAAACTGAATTTTGTGGACTTGTGTGTTTTCTGTGAGAGCAGGTTGGTTCCAGTGTTGATGAAGGTCAGATGGACGTGAAGAGCAGCCAGAAACTCCTGCACACTCAGATGGATGAAGCAGTAGACCTTGTCCTGGTACAGGCCTGGCTCCTCTCTAAAGACCTGTGTGAAGACTCCGGAGTACACTGAGGCGGCTGCAGCGACCAGCCCACACTCGCTCAGGTCACAGTCGTAGAAGATCAGGTTTCCTCTCTGCAGCTGCTCAAAGGCCAGTTTTCCCAGAGACTCCACCATCTCCCTGGTGTCTGGACTCCAGTGTGGGTCTGTCTCTGATCCTTCTTTATACTTGATGTTATTGACTTTGGCCTGAACCACCAGGAAGTGGCTGTACATCTGCGTCAGGCTCTTGGGCAGCTCTCCTCTCTCTCTGCTCTTCAACACATGCTCCAGGACTGTGGCAGTGATCCAGCAGAAGACTGGCATGTGGCACATGATGTGGAGGCTTCTGGACGTCTGGATGTGGGAGAGGACTGTGTCGGCCTGTTCTCCGAACCTCCTCCTGAAGTACTGCTCCTTCTGAGAGTCGCTGAACCCTCGGACCTCTGTCACCATGGAGACGCACTCTGCAGGGATCTGATTGGCCGCCGCGGGGCGTGTGGTGATCCAGAGGCGAGCGGAGGGAAGCAGGCTCCCCCTGATGAGGTTCACCAGCAGCAGGTCCAGAGAGATGGACTCTGTGGGGTCTGAGAGGACACGAGAGCTGCTGAAGTCCAGAGGAAGTCTGCACTCGTCCAGACCGTCAAAGATGAAGAGCACCTGGAGGTCTTCAAAGCTGCAGAGATCTGCTTGTGTTTGACTAAAGAAGTGATGAACAAGTGACACCAGGCTGAAGCTTCTGTCCTTCAGAACATTGAGAGTTCTGAAAGTGAAGGGGAACAGCAGCTGGAGGTCCTGGTTGGCTTTGCCTTCAGCCCAGTCCAGACTGAACTTCTGAGTGAGCACTGTTTTCCCGATGCCAGCCACTCCCTTTGTCAGCACCGTTCTGATTGGTTTGTCTGAGTGGGCCGGGTCTTTAAAGATGTCTTCACATGTGATGGTTCTCTCTGCTGGTCTCCTGGAGGCTGCTTCCATGTGTCGGACCTCATGTTCCTGGTTGACCTCTGAAGAGCCTCCCTCTGTGATGTAGAGCTCGGTGTAGATCTGCTTCAGGAGGGTGGGGGCTCCTGCTTTAGCGATGCCCTCAAACACACACTCAAACCTCTGCTGCAGATCCACCTTCAGTTTACGCTGAGAACGTCCAGAAGAAACCCCTGAATGAAGACAACAGAGACAGGAGTCAGAGAAGATCACATGACCATCATGAACGTGTTCTTACTGCTCCACAGACGCTCAGCCAGCTCCTTCTGATCCATCCTCCTCAGGAAGTTCAGTGTGATCTTCAGGAGCGCCTCACTGCAGCTCCTCTGCTCCTCATCCTCCACAGGCTCTAAGCATTCTGGGTAATCTGTGCTCAGAAGCCTAAGGAACTTCTTTAGCTCTTCCTGGACAAAAGTGGAGAAGTTCTGCTGCAGTTGCTGCACACACAAAAATAAAATATACTATAACCGGTTTCCAAAGTCCTGTTCCTCTGGCTGTAAACAAAGCAACATGTTTAGACAGAGACAAACTCGTGTTTACATTTGTCTGAGGAGGTTTCCTCCATGTGTTTCGGTTCCCACTACCTCTAAAACATGTTCAATATGCACAATCCTCTCCCTTTGATCCTGAAGAGCATCAACATCAGCAGGTCCAAGATGTCTATCCAAAGTCTTAAAGATGTCTGCCCCTGGTCTCTCCAACATGTCTGCCCCTGGTCTCTCCAACATGTCTGCCTCTGGTCTCTCCAACATGTCTGCCTCTGGTCTCTCCAACATGTCTGCCTCTGGTCTCTCCAACATGTCTGCCCCTGGTCTCTCCAACATGTCTGCCTCTGGTCTCTCCAACATGTCTGCCTCTGGTCTCTCCAACATGTCTGCCCCTGGTCTCTCCAACATGTCTGCCTCTGGTCTCTCCAACATGTCTGCCTCTGGTCTCTCCAACATGTCTGCCTCTGGTCTCTCCAACATGTCTGCCCCTGGTCTCTCCAACATGTCTGCCTCTGGTCTCTCCAACATGTCTGCCTCTGGTCTCTCCAACATGTCTGCCCCTGGTCTCTCCAACATGTCTGCCTCTGGTCTCTCCAACATGTCTGCCTCTGGTCTCTCCAACATGTCTGCCTCTGGTCTCTCCAACATGTCTGCCTCTGGTCTCTCCAACATGTCTGCCTCTGGTTTCCAAGATTCATTCCAGTTGCGATCAGTGACCTGAGCACATCGGTGTCTGCTGATGACTGAGACTGAAACATCAGCAGAAGTGGTACTTCAACAATCAGCCATCATGCAGCAACCCTCCTCCTCCTCATCAATGCCTCAGCAGTGAAATCGCCCCTTCTCCTTAGCTACCACCACCAGGGTCCAACCACAGTATTAACTGCCCCCAGCATTTGAAGGATGTGGTCCTTGTTTTCATGTGTCTCTGATTTGAATTGTCCAGAGGAGCTCCCGCCCAAAACACAACAACCACAGAACCTGGTAATGACTCTGAGACAAGGACAGACCCAACCACAGAACCTGGAGATGACTCTGAGACAAGGACAGACCCAACCACAGAACCTGGAGATGACTCTGAGACAAGGACAGACCCAACCACAGAACCTGGAGATGACTCTGAGACAAGGACAGACCCAACCACAGAACCTGGAGATGACTCTGAGACAAGGACAGACCCAACCACAGAACCTGGTGATGACTCTGAGACAAGGACAGACCCAACCACAGAACCCTGTGATGACTCTGAGACAAGGACAGACCCAACCACAGAACCTGGAGATGACTCTGAGACAAGGACAGACCCAACCACAGAACCTGGAGATGACTCTGAGACAAGGACAGACCCAACCACAGAACCTGGAGATGACTCTGAGACAAGGACAGACCCAACCACAGAACCTGGTGATGACTCTGAGACAAGGACAGACCCAACCACAGAACCCTGTGATGACTCTGAGACAAGGACAGACCCAACCACAGAACCTGGTGATGACTCTGAGACAAGGACAGACCCAACCACAGAACCTGGTGATGACTCTGAGACAAGGACAGACCCAACCACAGAACCTGGAGATGACTCTGAGACAAGGACAGACCCAACCACAGAACCTGGTGATGACTGAGACAAGGACAGACCCAACCACAGAACCTGGAGATGACTCTGAGACAAGGACAGACCCAACCACAGAACCTGGAGATGACTCTGAGACAAGGACAGACCCAACCACAGAACCTGGAGATGACTCTGAGACAAGGACAGACCCAACCACAGAACCTGGAGATGACTCTGAGACAAGGACAGACCCAACCACAGAACCTGGAGATGACTCTGAGACAAGGACAGACCCAACCACAGAACCTGGAGATGAGTCTGAGACAAGGACAGACCCAACCACAGAACCTGGAGATGACTCTGAGACAAGGACAGACCCAACCACAGAACCTGGAGATGACTCTGAGACAAGGACAGACCCAACCCCAGAACCTGGTGATGACTCTGAGACAAGGACAGACCCAACCACAGAACCTGGTGATGACTCTGAGACAAGGACAGACCCAACCACAGAACCTGGAGATGACTGAGACAAGGACAGACCCAACCACAGAACCTGGAGATGACTCTGAGACAAGGACAGACCCAACCACAGAACCTGGTGATGACTGAGACAAGGACAGACCCAACCACAGAACCTGGAGATGACTCTGAGACAAGGACAGACCCAACCACAGAACCTGGAGATGACTCTGAGACAAGGACAGACCCAACCACAGAACCTGGTGATGACTCTGAGACAAGGACAGACCCAACCACAGAACCTGGAGATGACTCTGAGACAAGGACAGACCCAACCACAGAACCTGGTGATGACTCTGAGACAAGGACAGACCCAACCACAGAACCTGGTGATGACTCTGAGACAAGGACAGACCCAACCACAGAACCTGGTGATGACTGAGACAAGGACAGACCCAACCACAGAACCTGGTGATGACTCTGAGACAAGGACAGACCCAACCACAGAACCCTGTGATGACTCTGAGACAAGGACAGACCCAACCACAGAACCTGGTGATGACTCTGAGACAAGGACAGACCCAACCACAGAACCTGGTGATGACTCTGAGACAAGGACAGACCCAACCACAGAACCTGGAGATGACTCTGAGACAAGGACAGACCCAACCACAGAACCTGGAGATGACTCTGAGACAAGGACAGACCCAACCACAGAACCTGGAGATGACTCTGAGACAAGGACAGACCCAACCACAGAACCTGGAGATGACTCTGAGACAAGGACAGACCCAACCACAGAACCTGGAGATGACTCTGAGACAAGGACAGACCCACCCACAGAACCTGGTGATGACTCTGAGACAAGGACAGACCCAACCACAGAACCTGGAGATGACTCTGAGACAAGGACAGACCCAACCACAGAACCTGGTGATGACTCTGAGACAAGGACAGACCCAACCACAGAACCTGGTGATGACTCTGAGACAAGGACAGACCCAACCACAGAACCTGGTGATGACTGAGACAAGGACAGACCCAACCACAGAACCTGGTGATGACTCTGAGACAAGGACAGACCCAACCACAGAACCTGGTGATGACTCTGAGACAAGGACAGACCCAACCACAGAACCTGGAGATGACTCTGAGACAAGGACAGACCCAACCACAGAACCTGGAGATGACTCTGAGACAAGGACAGACCCAACCACAGAACCTGGAGATGACTCTGAGACAAGGACAGACCCAACCACAGAACCTGGTGATGACTCTGAGACAAGGACAGACCCAACCACAGAACCTGGAGATGACTCTGAGACAAGGACAGACCCAACCACAGAACCTGGTGATGACTCTGAGACAAGGACAGACCCAACCACAGAACCTGGGGATGACTCTGAGGCAAGGACAGACCCAACCACAGAACCTGGTGATGACTCTGAGACAAGGACAGACCCAACCACAGAACCTGGTGATGACTGAGACAAGGACAAACCCAACCACAGAACCTGGTGATGACTCTGAGACAAGGACAGACCCAACCACAGAACCTGGTGATGACTCTGAGACAAGGACAGACCCAACCACAGAACCTGGAGATGACTCTGAGACAAGGACAGACCCAACCACAGAACCTGGAGATGACTCTGAGACAAGGACAGACCCAACCACAGAACCTGGAGATGACTCTGAGACAAGGACAGACCCAACCACAGAACCTGGTGATGACTCTGAGACAAGGACAGACCCAACCACAGAACCTGGAGATTACTTTGAGACAAGGACAGACCCAACCACAGAACCTGGAGATGACTCTGAGACAAGGACAGACCCAACTACAGAACCTGGTGATGACTCTGAGACAAGGACAGACCCAACCACAGAACCTGGAGATGACTCTGAGACAAGGACAGACCCAACCACAGAACCTGGTGATGACTCTGAGACAAGGACAGACCCAACCACAGAACCTGGTGATGACTCTGAGACAAGGACAGACCCAACCACAGAACCTGGAGATGACTCTGAGACAAGGACAGACCCAACCACAGAACCTGGAGATTACTTTGAGACAAGGACAGACCCAACCACAGAACCTGGAGATGACTCTGAGACAAGGACAGACCCAACCACAGAACCTGGAGATGACTCTGAGACAAGGACAGACCCAACCACAGAACCTGGAGATGACTCTGAGACAAGGACAGACCCAACCACAGAACCTGGAGATGACTCTGAGACAGGGACAGACCCAACCACAGAACCTGGTGATGACTCTGAGACAAGGACAGACCCAACCACAGAACCTGGTGATGACTCTGAGACAAGGACAGACCCAACCACAGAACCTGGTGATGACTGAGACAAGGACAGACCCAACCACAGAACCTGTGATGACTCTGAGACAAGGACAGACCCAACCACAGAACCTGGTGATGACTCTGAGACAAGGACAGACCCAACCACAGAACCTGGAGATGACTCTGAGACAAGGACAGACCCAACCACAGAACCTGGAGATGACTCTGAGACAAGGACAGACCCAACCACAGAACCTGGAGATGACTCTGAGACAAGGACAGACCCAACCACAGAACCTGGAGATGACTCTGAGACAAGGACAGACCCAACCACAGAACCTGGAGATGACTCTGAGACAAGGACAGACCCAACCACAGAACCTGGTGATGACTCTGAGACAAGGACAGACCCAACCACAGAACCTGGTGATGACTCTGAGGCAAGGACAGACCCAACCACAGAACCTGGTGATGACTCTGAGACAAGGACAGACCCAACCACAGAACCTGGTGATGACTGAGACAAGGACAGACCCAACCACAGAACCTGGTGATGACTCTGAGACAAGGACAGACCCAACCACAGAACCTGGAGATGACTCTGAGACAAGGACAGACCCAACCACAGAACCTGGAGATTACTCTGAGACAAGGACAGACCCAACCACAGAACCTGGAGATGACTCTGAGACAAGGACAGACCCAACCACAGAACCTGGAGATGACTCTGAGACAAGGACAGACCCAACCACAGAACCTGGAGATGACTCTGAGACAAGGACAGACCCAACCACAGAACCTGGAGATGACTCTGAGACAGGGACAGACCCAACCACAGAACCTGGTAATGACTGAGACAAGGACAGACCCAACCACAGAATCTGGAGATGACTCTGAGACAAGGACAGACCCAACCACAGAACCTGGTGATGACTGAGACAAGGACAGACCCAACCAAAGAACCTGGAGATGACTCTGAGACAAGGACAGACCCAACCAAAGAACCTGGAGAGGACTCTGAGACAAGGACAGACCCAACCACAGAACCCTGTGATGACTCTGAGACAAGGACAGACCCAACCACAGAACCTGGTGATGACTCTGAGACAAGGACAGACCCAACCACAGAACCTGGAGATGACTCTGAGACAAGGACAGACCCAACCACAGAACCTGGTGATGACTCTGAGACAAGGACAGACCCAACCACAGAACCTGGAGATGACTCTGAGACAAGGACAGACCCAACCACAGAACCTGGAGATGACTCTGAGACAAGGACAGACCCAACCACAGAACCTGGAGATGACTCTGAGACAAGGACAGACCCAACCACAGAACCTGGTGATGACTGAGACAAGGACAGACCCAACCACAGAACCTGGTGATGACTGAGACAAGGACAGACCCAACCACAGAACCTGGAGATGACTCTGAGACAAGGACAGACCCAACCACAGAACCTGGAGATGACTCTGAGACAAGGACAGACCCAACCACAGAACCTGGAGATGACTGAGACAAGGACAGACCCAACCACAGAACCTGGAGATGACTCTGAGACAAGGACAGACCCAACCACAGAACCTGGAGATGACTCTGAGACAAGGACAGACCCAACCACAGAACCTGGTGATGACTGAGACAAGGACAGACCCAACCACAGAACCTGGAGATGACTCTGAGACAAGGACAGACCCAACCACAGAACCTGGAGATGACTCTGAGACAAGGACAGACCCAACCACAGAACCTGGTGATGACTCTGAGACAAGGACAGACCCAACCACAGAACCTGGTGATGACTCTGAGACAAGGACAGACCCAACCACAGAACCTGGAGATGACTCTGAGACAAGGACAGACCCAACCACAGAACCTGGAGATGACTCTGAGACAAGGACAGACCCAACCACAGAACCTGGTGATGACTCTGAGACAAGGACAGACCCAACCACAGAACCTGGAGATGACTCTGAGACAGACCTGAAATATGGACCTCAGCTGTGGCTGCTGCTGCACCTCTGGACCCTGGGGCTCCTGTCTGAAAGGAAAACAAATATTACCATTTCTTCTCAACATCATTGACAGAAACTTACCCTTCTGTGGCAGAAGCTCTGATCCCAGAGACCTCACTGCTGAGACCTCAGATCTCTGCATGAATTTATTAAAGTGTGTTGAAACTAAAGTGTATCAACAGGTTACAGGTTGACCCGCTTCTGTCAGTGTGCCCCAGGGCAGCTGTGGCTAAAGCAGTATGTTGTATAAGCAGTTTATCGCCATTGTGTAGTTTAATGCCATTTTCACGCAGACGCTGTACCAAACCATGAGATTCATTTATTCTATTTTATTATTTATAATTTTTTTTTATTTTTTATTTTTTTTATTTAAATGTGTGTATTTATTTTTTGCCATTTTGCATTTTGTACAGCACTTTGGAAACTGCGTGTTTATGAAATGTACTATATAAATAAAGGGGATTGGATTGGATGCCACAATATAGTGGTCACTGGTGGTGCCACAGAGGAGTCTGTTTCACTGCAGCTTTGAACGTTCCAACAGTTCCACTCACCTGTTTAGATCCTGATTAAACTGAACATATCGTCCCATGGAGTTGTCACTGCTGACAGACGCTGCGCTGATCCCAGGATCAGGTCTGTGAACACACAGGGAGCAGCAGCTTTAGTCAGAGCTCTGACATAAAATACAGCTTTTGAAATGTCCCGTTTAGAAACACGTGAATGTTTTGTTTCCCATCATCTAATGTTGACCTACTCTGCTTTGTCTCATAATGATGATGAATTATCTTCCACGGGCATTTTCTGTGGCATCTAGTAGTTTTGAGGCGTTTAGCAGTTTGTGGTGTTTTCACTAATACTTCCTCCACAAACTATGTAACATGACCTCAGCAGATCTTCACAAACACTGAAAAGGGCACTAAGCCAAGAGATGCCACAGAAAATAATGTGGCAGCTGCTGATGTCCGTCTTCACTGCAGCTGCAAACAGGTCCACTCACCTGTTTGGATCCTGTTTGAACTGAACATATCGTCCCATGGAGTTGTCACTGCTGACGGACGCCGCACTGATCTCAGGAGCAGGTCTGTGGACACACAGGGAGCAGCAGCTTTAGTCTGAGCTTTTTCATAAAGAACAGTCGTAGGAATGTCCAGTTTTAGAGTCGTAAAAGGGCTGTAAACCACTCAGTGATGTTGACCTCATCTGCTCTGTCTCATATGTTTCAACAACTTCTGCCTGGGAATTTCTGTGACATTTAGTAGATATGGCATCTTGTAGTTTAGTGGCATCTTATAGATTAGTGGCATCTTGTAGTTTAGTGGCATCTTGTAGATTAGTGGCATCTTGTAGATTAGTGGCATCTTGTAGTTTAGTGGCATCTTATAGATTAGTGGCATTTTGTAGTTTAGTGGCATCTTGTAGATAAGTGGCATCTTGTAATTTAGTGGCATCTTGTAGATTAGTGGCATCTTGTAGTTTAGTGGCATCTTGTAGATTAGTGGCATCTTGTAGATTAGTGGGACCTTGTAGTTTAGTGGCATCTTGTAGTTTAGTGGCATCTTGTAGATTAGTGGCATCTTGTAGATTAGTGGCACCTTGTAGTTTAGTGGCATCTTGTAGTTTAGTGGCATCTTGTAGATTAGTGGCATCTTGTAGATTAGTGGCATCTTGTAGATTAGTGGCATCTTGTAGATTAGTGGCATCTTGTAGATAAGTGGCATCTTGTAGATTAGTGGCATCTTGTAGATTAGTGGCATTTTGTAGATTAGTGGCATCTTGTAGATTAGTGGCATTTTGTAGATTAGTGGCATCTTGTAGATTAGTGGCATCTTATAGTTTTGTGGCATCTTGTAGATTAGTGGCATCTTGTAGATTAGTGGCATCTTGTAGTTTAGTGGCATCTTGTAGATTAGTGGCATCTTGTAGATTAGTGGCATCTTGTAGATTAGTGGCATCTTGTAGATTAGTGGCATCTTGTAGATTAGTGGCATCTTGTAGATTAGTGGCATCTTGTAGATTAGTGGCATCTTGTAGATTAGTGACATCCAGTAGTTTAGTGGCATCTAGAAGTTTAGGGATATTTTCACGCAGATGCTGTACTAAACCATGAGATGCCACAATATAGTGGTCATGGTGGTGCCACAGAGGAGTCCGTTTCACTGCAGCTTTGAACGTTCCAACAGTTCCACTCACCTGTTTAGATCCTGATTAAACTGAACATATCGTCCCATGGAGTTGTCACTGCTGACAGACGCCACGCTGATCCCAGGATCAGGTCTGTGCACACACAGGGAGCAGCAGCTTTAGTCAGAGCTCTGACATAAAATACAGCTTTTGAAATGTCCCGTTTAGAAACACGTGAATGTTTTGTTTCCCATCCTCTAATGTTGACCTACTCTGCTTTGTCTCATAATGATGATGAATTATCTTCCACGGGCATTTTCTGTGGCATCTAGTAGTTTTGAGGCGTTTAGCAGTTTGTGGTGTTTTCACTAATACTTCCTCCACAAACTAAGTAACATGACCTCAGCAGATCTTCACAAACACTGAAAAGGGCACTAAGCCAAGAGATGCCACAGAAAATAATGTGGCAGCTGCTGATGTCCGTCTTCACTGCAGCTGCAAACAGGTCCACTCACCTGTTTGGATCCAGTTTGAACTGCACATATCGTCCCATGGAGTTGTCACTGCTGACGGACGCCGCGCTGATCTCAGGAGCAGGTCTGTGGACACCCAGGGAGCAGCAGCTTTAGTCTGAGCTTTTTCATAAAGAACAGTCGTAGGAATGTCCAGTTTTAGAGTCGTAAAAGGGCTGTAAACCACTCAGTGATGTTGACCTCATCTGCTCTGTCTCATATGTTTCAACAACTTCTGCCTGGGAATTTCTGTGACATTTAGTAGATTAGTGGCATCTTGTAGATTAGTGGCATCTTGTAGATTAGTGGCATCTTGTAGTTTAGTGGCATCTTGTAGATTAGTGGCATCTTGTAGATTAGTGGCATCTTGTAGATTAGTGGCATCTTGTAGTTTAGTGGCATCTTGTAGATTAGTGGCATCTTGTAGATTAGTGGCATCTTGTAGTTTAGTGGCATCTTGTAGTTTAGTGGCATCTTGTAGTTTAGTGGCATCTTGTAGATTAGTGGCATCTTGTAGATTAGTGGCATCTTGTAGATTAGTGGCATCTTGTAGATTAGTGGCATCTTGTAGATTAGTGGCATCTTGTAGATAAGTGGCATCTTGTAGTTTAGTGGCATCTTGTAGTTTAGTGGCATCTTGTAGATTAGTGGCATCTTGTAGATTAGTGGCATCTTGTAGATTAGTGGCATCTTGTAGATTAGTGGCATCTTGTAGTTTAGTGGCATCTTGTAGTTTAGTGGCATCTTGTAGATAAGTGGCATCTTGTAGATAAGTGGCATCTTGTAGATTAGTGGCATCTTGTAGATTAGTGGCATCTTGTAGATTAGTGGTATCTTGTAGATAAGTGGCATCTTGTAGATAAGTGGCATCTTGTAGATTAGTGGCATCTTGTAGATAAGTGGCATCTTGTAGATAAGTGGCATCTTGTAGATTAGTGGCATCTTGTAGTTTAGTGGCATCTTGTAGATTAGTGGCATCTTGTAGATTAGTGGCATCTTGTAGATAAGTGGCATCTTGTAGATTAGTGGCATCTTGTAGATTAGTGGCATCTTGTAGATTAGTGACATCCAGTAGTTTAGTGGCATCTAGAAGTTTAGGGCTATTTTCACGCAGATGCTGTACTAAACCATGAGATGCCACAATATAGTGGTCACTGGTGGTGCCACAGAGGAGTCTGTTTCACTGCAGCTTTGAACGTTCAAACAGGTCCACTCACCTGTTTAGATCCTGATTAAACTGAACATATCGTCCCATGGAGTTGTCACTGCTGACGGACGCCGCTCTGATCCCAGGAGCAGGTCTGTGGACACACAGGGAGCAGCAGCTTTAGTCTGAGCTTTTTCATAAAGAACAGTCGTAGGAATGTCCAGTTTTAGAGTCGTAAAAGGGCTGTAAACCACTCAGTGATGTTGACCTCATCTGCTCTGTCTCATATGTTTCAACAACTTCTGCCTGGGAATTTCTGTGACATTTAGTAGTTTAGTGGCATCTTGTAGTTTAGTGGCATCTTGTAGTTTAGTGGCATCTTGTAGATTAGTGGCATCTTGTAGATTAGTGGCATCTTGTAGATTAGTGGCATCTTGTAGTTTAGTGGCATCTTGTAGTTTAGTGGCATCTTGTAGATTAGTGGCATCTTGTAGATTAGTGGCATCTTGTAGATTAGTGGCATCTTGTAGATTAGTGGCATCTTGTAGATTAGTGGCATCTTGTAGATTAGTGGCATCTTGTAGATTAGTGGCATCTTGTAGTTTAGTGGCATCTTCTAGTTTAGTGGCATCTTGTAGATTAGTGGCATCTTGTAGATTAGTGGCATCTTGTAGATTAGTGACATCCAGTAGTTTAGTGGCATCTAGAAGTTTAGGGCTATTTTCACGCAGACGCTGTACTAAACCATGAGATGCCACAATATAGTGGTCACTGGTGGTGCCACAGAGGAGTCTGTTTCACTGCAGCTTTGAACGTTCCAACAGTTCCACTCACCTGTTTAGATCCTGATTAAACTGAACATATCGTCCCATGGAGTTGTCACTGCTGACGGACGCCGCGCTGATCCCAGGAGCAGGTCTGTGGACACACAGGGAGCAGCAGCTTTAGTCAGAGCTCTGACATAAAATACAGCTTTTGAAATGTCCCGTTTAGAAACACGTGAATGTTTTGTTTCCCATCCTCTAATGTTGACCTACTCTGCTTTGTCTCATAATGATGATGAATTATCTTCCACGGGCATTTTCTGTGGCATCTAGTAGTTTTGAGGCGTTTAGCAGTTTGTGGTGTTTTCACTAATACTTCCTCCACAAACTAAGTAACATGACCTCAGCAGATCTTCACAAACACTGAAAAGGGCACTAAGCCAAGAGATGCCACAGAAAATAATGTGGCAGCTGCTGATGTCCGTCTTCACTGCAGCTGCAAACAGGTCCACTCACCTGTTTGGATCCTGTTTGAACTGAACATATCGTCCCATGGAGTTGTCACTGCTGACGGACGCCGCGCTGATCTCAGGAGCAGGTCTGTGGACACACAGGGAGCAGCGGCTTTAGTCTGAGATTTTTCATAAAGAACAGTCGTAGGAATGTCCAGTTTTAGAGTCGTAAAAGGGCTGTAAACCACTCAGTGATGTTGACCTCATCTGCTCTGTCTCATATGTTTCAACAACTTCTGCCTGGGAATTTCTGTGACATTTAGTAGATTAGTGGCATCTTGTAGTTTAGTGGCATCTTGTAGATTAGTGGCATCTTGTAGATTAGTGGCATCTTGTAGTTTAGTGGCATCTTGTAGATTAGTGACATCTTGTAGATTAGTGACATCTTGTAGATAAGTGGCATCTTGTAGATTAGTGGCATCTTGTAGATTACTGGCATCTTGTAGTTTAGTGGCATCTTGTAGTTTAGTGGCATCTTGTAGATTACTGGCATCTTGTAGATTAGTGGCATCTTGTAGATTAGTGGCATCTTGTAGATTAGTGGCATCTTGTAGTTTAGTGGCATCTTGTAGATTAGTGACATCCAGTAGTTTAGTGGCATCTTGTAGATTAGTGGCATCTTGTAGATTAGTGACATCCAGTAGTTTAGTGGCATCTTGTAGATTAGTGGCATCTTGTAGATTAGTGACATCCAGTAGTTTTAGTGGCATCTTGTAGTTTAGTGGCATCTAGTGGTTTGGTGGCATCTTGTAGTTTAGTGGCATCTAGTGGTTTGGTGGCATCTAGAAGTTTAGGGATATTTTCACGCAGACGCTGTACTAAACCATGAGATGCCACAATATAGTGGTCACTGGTGGTGCCACAGAGAAGTCTGTTTCACTGCAGCTTTGAACGTTCCAACAGTTCCACTCACCTGTTTAGATCCTGATTAAACTGAACATATCGTCCCATGGAGTTGTCACTGCTGACGGACGCCGCACTGATCTCAGGAGCAGGTCTGTGGACACACAGGGAGAAGCGGCTTTAGTCTGAGCTTTTTCATAAAGAACAGTCGTAGGAATGTCCAGTTTTAGAGTCGTAAAAGGGCTGTAAACCACTCAGTGATGTTGACCTCATCTGCTCTGTCTCATATGTTTCAACAACTTCTGCCTGGGAATTTCTGTGACATTTAGTAGATTACTGGCATCTTGTAGTTTAGTGGCATCTTGTAGATTAGTGGCATCTTGTAGTTTAGTGGCATCTTGTAGATTAGTGGCATCTTGTAGTTTAGTGGCATCTTGTAGATTAGTGGCATCTTGTAGATTAGTGACATCCAGTAGTTTAGTGGCATCTTGTAGATTAGTGGCATCTTGTAGATTAGTGACATCTTGTAGATTAGTGGCATATCTTGTAGATTAGTGGCATCTTGTAGATTAGTGGCATCTTGTAGATTAGTGGCATCTTGTAGATAAGTGGCATCTTGTAGATTAGTGGCATCTTGTAGATTAGTGGCATCTCTTAGATTACTGGCATCTTGTAGTTTAGTGGCATCTTGTAGTTTAGTGGCATCTTGTAGTTTAGTGGCATCTTGTAGATAAGTGGCATCTTGTAGATAAGTGGCATCTTGTAGATAAGTGGCATCTTGTAGATTAGTGGCATCTTGTAGATTAGTGGCATCTTGTAGATTAGTGACATCCAGTAGTTTAGTGGCATCTAGAAGTTTAGGGCTATTTTCACGCAGATGCTGTACTAAACCATGAGATGCCACAATATAGTGGTCACTGGTGGTGCCACAGAGAAGTCTGTTTCACTGCAGCTTTGAACGTTCAAACAGGTCCACTCACCTGTTTAGATCCTGATTAAACTGAACATATCGTCCCATGGAGTTGTCACTGCTGACGGACGCCGCTCTGATCCCAGGAGCAGGTCTGTGGACACACAGGGAGCAGCAGCTTTAGTCTGAGCTTTTTCATAAAGAACAGTCGTAGGAATGTCCAGTTTTAGAGTCGTAAAAGGGCTGTAAACCACTCAGTGATGTTGACCTCATCTGCTCTGTCTCATATGTTTCAACAACTTCTGCCTGGGAATTTCTGTGACATTTAGTAGTTTAGTGGCATCTTGTAGTTTAGTGGCATCTTGTAGTTTAGTGGCATCTTGTAGATTAGTGGCATCTTGTAGATTAGTGGCATCTTGTAGATTAGTGGCATCTTGTAGTTTAGTGGCATCTTGTAGTTTAGTGGCATCTTGTAGATTAGTGGCATCTTGTAGATTAGTGGCATCTTGTAGATTAGTGGCATCTTGTAGATTAGTGGCATCTTGTAGATTAGTGGCATCTTGTAGATTAGTGGCATCTTGTAGATTAGTGGCATCTTGTAGTTTAGTGGCATCTTCTAGTTTAGTGGCATCTTGTAGATTAGTGGCATCTTGTAGATTAGTGGCATCTTGTAGATTAGTGACATCCAGTAGTTTAGTGGCATCTAGAAGTTTAGGGCTATTTTCACGCAGACGCTGTACTAAACCATGAGATGCCACAATATAGTGGTCACTGGTGGTGCCACAGAGGAGTCTGTTTCACTGCAGCTTTGAACGTTCCAACAGTTCCACTCACCTGTTTAGATCCTGATTAAACTGAACATATCGTCCCATGGAGTTGTCACTGCTGACGGACGCCGCGCTGATCCCAGGAGCAGGTCTGTGGACACACAGGGAGCAGCAGCTTGAGTCAGAGCTCTGACATAAAATACAGCTTTTGAAATGTCCCGTTTAGAAACACGTGAATGTTTTGTTTCCCATCCTCTAATGTTGACCTACTCTGCTTTGTCTCATAATGATGATGAATTATCTTCCACGGGCATTTTCTGTGGCATCTAGTAGTTTTGAGGCGTTTAGCAGTTTGTGGTGTTTTCACTAATACTTCCTCCACAAACTAAGTAACATGACCTCAGCAGATCTTCACAAACACTGAAAAGGGCACTAAGCCAAGAGATGCCACAGAAAATAATGTGGCAGCTGCTGATGTCCGTCTTCACTGCAGCTGCAAACAGGTCCACTCACCTGTTTGGATCCTGTTTGAACTGAACATATCGTCCCATGGAGTTGTCACTGCTGACGGACGCCGCGCTGATCTCAGGAGCAGGTCTGTGGACACACAGGGAGCAGCAGCTTTAGTCTGAGCTTTTTCATAAAGAACAGTCGTAGGAATGTCCAGTTTTAGAGTCGTAAAAGGGCTGTAAACCACTCAGTGATGTTGACCTCATCTGCTCTGTCTCATATGTTTCAACAACTTCTGCCTGGGAATTTCTGTGACATTTAGTAGATTAGTGGCATCTTGTAGTTTAGTGGCATCTTGTAGATTAGTGGCATCTTGTAGATTAGTGGCATCTTGTAGTTTAGTGGCATCTTGTAGATTAGTGACATCTTGTAGATTAGTGACATCTTGTAGATAAGTGGCATCTTGTAGATTAGTGGCATCTTGTAGATTACTGGCATCTTGTAGTTTAGTGGCATCTTGTAGTTTAGTGGCATCTTGTAGATTACTGGCATCTTGTAGATTAGTGGCATCTTGTAGATTAGTGGCATCTTGTAGATTAGTGGCATCTTGTAGTTTAGTGGCATCTTGTAGATTAGTGACATCCAGTAGTTTAGTGGCATCTTGTAGATTAGTGGCATCTTGTAGATTAGTGACATCCAGTAGTTTAGTGGCATCTTGTAGATTAGTGGCATCTTGTAGATTAGTGACATCCAGTAGTTTAGTGGCATCTTGTAGTTTAGTGGCATCTAGTGGTTTGGGTGGCATCTTGTAGTTTAGTGGCATCTAGTGGTTTGGTGGCATCTAGAAGTTTAGGGATATTTTCACGCAGACGCTGTACTAAACCATGAGATGCCACAATATAGTGGTCACTGGTGGTGCCACAGAGAAGTCTGTTTCACTGCAGCTTTGAACGTTCCAACAGTTCCACTCACCTGTTTAGATCCTGATTAAACTGAACATATCGTCCCATGGAGTTGTCACTGCTGACGGACGCCGCGCTGATCCCAGGAGCAGGTCTGTGGACACACAGGGAGAAGCGGCTTTAGTCTGAGCTTTTTCATAAAGAACAGTCGTAGGAATGTCCAGTTTTAGAGTCGTAAAAGGGCTGTAAACCACTCAGTGATGTTGACCTCATCTGCTCTGTCTCATATGTTTCAACAACTTCTGCCTGGGAATTTCTGTGACATTTAGTAGATTACTGGCATCTTGTAGTTTAGTGGCATCTTGTAGATTAGTGGCATCTTGTAGTTTAGTGGCATCTTGTAGATTAGTGGCATCTTGTAGTTGAGTGGCATCTTGTAGATTAGTGGCATCTTGTAGATTAGTGACATCCAGTAGTTTAGTGGCATCTTGTAGATTAGTGGCATCTTGTAGATTAGTGACATCTTGTAGATTAGTGGCATCTTGTAGATTAGTGGCATCTTGTAGATTAGTGGCATCTTGTAGATTAGTGGCATCTTGTAGATAAGTGGCATCTTGTAGATTAGTGGCATCTTGTAGATTAGTGGCATCTCTTAGATTACTGGCATCTTGTAGTTTAGTGGCATCTTGTAGTTTAGTGGCATCTTGTAGTTTAGTGGCATCTTGTAGATAAGTGGCATCTTGTAGATAAGTGGCATCTTGTAGATTAGTGGCATCTTGTAGATTAGTGGCATCTTGTAGATTAGTGGCATCTTGTAGATTAGTGACATCTTGTAGATTAGTGGCATCTTGTAGATTAGTGGCATCTTGTAGATTAGTGGCATCTTGTAGATTAGTGGCATCTTGTAGTTTAGTGGCATCTTGTAGATTAGTGACATCCAGTAGTTTAGTGGCATCTTGTAGTTTAGTGGCATCTTGTAGATTAGTGACATCCAGTAGTTTAGTGGCATCTTGTAGTTTAGTGGCATCTTGTAGATTAGTGACATCCAGTAGTTTAGTGGCATCTTGTAGTTTAGTGGCATCTAGTGGTTTGGTGGCATCTAGAAGTTTAGGGATATTTTCACGCAGACGCTGTACTAAACCATGAGATGCCACAATATAGTGGTCATGGTGGTGCCACTGAGGAGTCTGTTTCACTGCAGCTTTGAACGTTCCAACAGTTCCACTCACCTGTTTAGATCCTGATTAAACTGAACATATCGTCCCATGGAGTTGTCACTGCTGACAGACGCTGCGCTGATCTCAGGAGCAGGTCTGTGGACACACAGGGAGCAGCAGCTTTAGTCAGAGCTCTGACATAAAATACAGCTTTTGAAATGTCCCGTTTAGAAACACGTGAATGTTTTGTTTCCCATCATCTAATGTTGACCTACTCTGCTTTGTCTCATAATGATGATGAATTATCTTCCACGGGCATTTTTCGTGGCATCTAGTAGTTTTGAGGCGTTTAGCAGTTTGTGGTGTTTTCACTAATACTTCCTCCACAAACTATGTAACATGACCTCAGCAGATCTTCACAAACACTGAAAAGGGCACTAAGCCAAGAGATGCCACAGAAAATAATGTGGCAGCTGCTGATGTCCGTCTTCACTGCAGCTGCAAACAGGTCCACTCACCTGTTTGGATCCTGTTTGAACTGAACATATCGTCCCATGGAGTTGTCACTGCTGACGGACGCCGCGCTGATCTCAGGAGCAGGTCTGTGGACACACAGGGAGCAGCGGCTTTAGTCTGAGCTCTGACATGGAGAACTGTGAGACGGATCCTCTTTACCTCTGAGCATTGAGGGCTTTGGTTCTGGAGTGAGGGGTGGGGCTACTTCTGGGCACCTCCTGAGCCATGGTCTGGCCTGGTCTGGTCTGGCCTGGTCTGGTCTGGCTGAAAGAAAATAAAATGTCACTTCTAAAAGTGAATTGTGTTGTTATGGTAAGCAGCACTTGCTCTGGACCAGTCTGGGACCAGTCCAGCACTAGTCCAGGACCAAACCAGGACCAGTCCAGGACCAGACCAAAACCAGACCAGGATGGAAATTTCACATATATAATTTCTGTAAAAAGTCACAAAGACCAAAAACATGTAAACGGAAAAAAACACTTCCAGGTCTTATTCAAGCATCAGAGAACCTGTGAGAGAGAACCCCGTGAGAGAGAACCCTGTGAGAGAGAACCCTGTGAGAGAGAACCCTGTGAGAGAGAACCCCGTGAGAGAGAACCCTGTGAGAGAGAACCCTGTGAGAGAGAACCCTGTGAGAGCGAACCCTGTGAGAGAGAACCCTGTGAGAGAGATCCCTGTGAGAGAGAACCCTGTGAGAGAGACCTATGAGAGAGAGACCTGTGAGAGAGAGAGACCTGTGAGAGAGAACCCTGTGAGAGAGACCTATGAGAGAGAGACCTGTGAGAGAGAGCCCTGTGAGAGAGAGACCTGTGAGAGAGAGACCTGTGAGAGAGAGCCCTGTGAGAGAGAGAGACCTGTGAGAGAGAGACATGTGAGAGAGAACCCTTTGAGAGAGAGACCTGTGAGAGAGAGCCCTGTGAGAGAGAACCCTGTGAGAGAGAGAACCCTGTGAGAGAGAATCTGTGAGAGAGAACCCTGTGAGAGAGAGCCCAGTGAGAGAGAACCCTGTGAGAGAGAGACCTGTGAGAGAGAGCCCTGTGAGAGAGTGTACCCTATGAGAGAGAACCCTGTGAGAGAGAGCCCTGTGAGAGAGAGCCCTGTGAGAGAGAACCCTGTGAGAGAGAGCCCAGTGAGAGAGAACCCTGTGAGTGAGAGAGAACCCTGTGAGAGAGAGACCTGTGAGAGAGATCTGTGAGAGAGAGCCCTGTGAGAGAGAGACCTGTGAGAGAGAGACCTGTGAGAGAGAGACCTGTGAGAGAGAGCCCTGTGAGAGAGAGACCTGTGTGAGAGAGCCCTGCGAGAGAGAACCCTGTGAGAGAGATACCTGTGAGAGAGAACCCTGTGAGAGAGAACTCTGTGAGAGAGAACCTTGTGAGAGAGAGACCTGTGGGAGAGAGCCCTGTGAGAGAGAACCCTGTGAGAGAGAACCCTGTTAAAGAGAACCCAGAGAGAGAGAACCCTGTGCGAGAGAGCCCTGTGAGAGAGAACCCTGTGAGAGAGAACCCTGTTAGAGAGAACCTTGTGAGAGAGAGACCTGTGAGAAAGAACCGTGTGAGAGAGAGACCTGTGTGAGAGAGCCCTGTGAGAGAGAACCCTGTTAGAGAAAGACCTATGAGAGAGAGCCCTGTGAGAGAGAGCCCTGTGAGAGAGAACCCTGTGAGAGAGAGCCCAGTGAGAGAGAACCCTGTGAGAGAGAGACCTGTGAGAGAGAGCCCTGTGAGAGAGAGCCCTGTGAGAGAGTGTACCCTATGAGAGAGAACCCTGTGAGAGAGAGCCCTGTGAGAGAGAACCCTGTGAGAGAGAGCCCAGTGAGAGAGAACCCTGTGAGTGAGAGAGAACCCTGTGAGAGAGAGACCTGTGAGAGAGATCTGTGAGAGAGAGCCCTGTGAGAGAGAGACCTGTGAGAGAGAGCCCTGTGAGAGAGAGACCTGTGTGAGAGAACCCTGTGAGAGAGAGAGACCTGTGAGAGAGAGCCCTGTGAGAGAGAACCCTGTGAGAGAGAGCCCTGTGAGAGAGAACCCTGTGAGAGAGGACCCTGTGAGAGAGAACCCTGTGAGAGAGACCTGTGGGAGAGAACCCTGTGAGAGAGAACCCTATGAGAGAGAGCCCTGTGAGAGAGAGCCCAGTGAGAGAGAACCCTGTGAGAGAGAGACCTGTGAGAGAGAGCCCTGTGAGAGAGAACCCTGTGAGAGAGAACCCTGTGAGAGAGAGCCCTGTGAGAGAGAACCCTGTGAGAGAGAGATGTGTGAGAGAGAGAGACCTGTGAGAGAGAGACCTGTGAGAGAGAGCCCTGTGAGAGACCTGTGAGAGAGAGACCTGTGAGAGAGAGCCCTGTGAGAGAGAGACCTGTGAGAGAGAGCCCTGTGAGGGAGAGAGACCTGTGAGAGAGAGAGACCTGTGAGAGAGAACCCTGTGAGACAGAGCCCTGTGAGAGAGTCCCCTGTGAGAGAGAACCCTGTGAGAGAGAACCCTGTGAGAGAGGACCCTGTGAGAGAGAACCCTGTGAGAGAGAACCCTGTGAGAGAGAGCCCTGTGAGAGAGAACCCTGTGAGAGAGAGCCCAGTGAGAGAGAACCCTGTGAGAGAGAGACCTGTGAGAGAGAGCCCTGTGAGAGAGAGACCTGTGAGAGAGAACCCTGTGAGAGAGAACCCTGTGAGAGAGAGCCCTGTGAGAGAGAGCCCTGTGAGAGAGAACCCTGTGAGGGAGAGCCCTGTGAGAGAGAGCCCTGTGAGAGAGAACCCTGTGAGAGAGAGACCTGTGAGAGAGAGACCTGTGAGAGAGAACCCTGTGAGAGAGAGCCCAGTGAGAGAGAGCCCTGTGAGAGAGAGCCCTGTGAGGGAGAGCCCTGTGAGAGAGAGCCCTGTGAGAGAGAGCCCTGTGAGCGAGAACCCTGTGAGAGAGAGCCCAGTGAGAGAGAACCCTGTGAGTGAGAGAGAGAGCCCTGTGAGAGAGAACCCTGTGAGAGAGAACCCTGTGAGAGAGAGACCTGTGAGAGAGAGATCTGTGAGAGAGAGCCCTGTGAGAGAGAGCCCTGTGAGAGAGAGACCTGTGAGAGAGAGCCCTGTGAGAGAGAGACCTGTGTGAGAGAGCCCTGTGAGAGAGAACCCTGTGAGAGATACCTGTGAGAGAGAACCCTGTGAGAGAGAACCCTGTGAGAGAGAACCTTGTGAGAGAGAGACCTGTGAGAGAGAACCGTGTGAGAAAGAACCCTGTTAGAGAAAGACCTGTGAGAGAGAACCCTGTGAGAGAGAGCCCAGTGAGAGAGAGCCCTGTGAGAGAGAGCCCAGTGAGGGAGAGCCCTGTGAGAGAGAACCCTGTGAGAGAGAGCCCAGTGAGAGAGAGCCCCGTGAAAGAGAGCCCTGTGAGAGAGAACCCTGTGAGAGAGAGCCCAGTGAGAGAGAGCCCTGTGAGAGACAGCCCAGTGAGGGAGAGCCCAGTGAGAGAGAGCCCTGTGAGAGAGGGCGGATCTCTCTTTTTCAATTTTCTCTGGTCTCTCTCTTTGGTCTCTCTCTCTTGTCTCTCTCTGGTCTCTCCCTTTCTGGTCTCTCTCTCTCTGGTCTCTCTCTCTGGTCTCTCTCTGGTCTCTCTCTCTGGTCTCTCTCTGGTCTCTCTCTGGTCTCTCTCTCTGGTCTCTCTCTGGTCTCTCTCTCTGGTCTCTCTCTGGTCTCTCCCTTTCTGGTCTCTCTCTCTGGTCTCTCTCTCTGGTCTCTCTCTCTGGTCTCTCTCTCTGGTCTCTCTCTCTGGTCTCTCTCTTTCCTTCTGCCCTCATTCTGATACAAAACAAACATATTAAAACAATCGTACCTGTCGACAGAACCAGCCACAAGTCTGAGTCCGAACCCAAGTCCGAGTCCGAACCAAGTCTGAGTCTGAACCCAAGTCAGAGTCTGAACCAAGTCTGAGTCCGAACCCAAATCCAAGTCTGAACCAAGTCTGAGTCTGAACCCAAGTCAGAGTCTGAACAAAGTCTGAGTCTGAACCATGTTTGGACCGGTTTAACCACATGTTTCCGTGGTGACTCATGATTGGTTGACGCAGGTCATGTGGTGCTTCTGTCATTCCAGTTTATATCTAGAACACACAGATTCCAAAGTGCTGCGTGTAAACAATACAGTAAATCAGTACAGATTAGAAATGATAGAACTATATAAACATAAAAACTGTATAAATATAACAAATTCCAGGGCCTTTCTGAGTGGAGTTTGCATGTTCTCCCCGTGTCTGCGTAGGTTTCCTCCGGGTGCTCCGGTTTCCCCGTACCACTAAAAATATGTACAATAGGTCTGGCATGTGCCTCCTGTACTGGCCCCGCTCCCAAAAAATAACAATTGTAAACCGCTTTGAGACTCCGACGTGCAGTGAAAAGGCGGTATATAAATAAAGATTACTTACTTACTACTTACAAATTAAACAAACAAAAGAGTGAAATAAAATAAGGTACTGAAGAAGATGACATGTCCGGGATCGCGTCTTTCATTCAGACAAAAACATGTTTTATTGTGGATGGTAGAGACAGCACGAACAACAGAATGCAAGTGTATTATACAGAGCGTTGGCATGGAGACCTCCAATCAGCAGCTGCCACAGTGCCATGTAGCTTGGCCTTCAGATAGACACAACAAGGGAAAAGTACTGGCTTCTGCACATTGATAGAATGATGAGTTTAACTTTAACAAAAGTGGCTTCAAAGTGTTATGAAATCTCTAGAGTACAATAAAAGGACCATATCCAAGAGTTAAAAGCGGTCCAAAGATTAGACTTAAACCAGCAGTTGGACCATGGGGCAGAGAGGGCCACACCTGGACCAGACACCATCAAAAAAGCATTTAAATATAGTATATAAAAGCATAATACTATCAGATAATAATGAAGTCTGAGTGTCTCTCTCTGGTCTCTCTGTTCTCTCTCTCTGGTCTCTCTCTGGTCTCTCTCTGGTCTCTCTCTGGTCTCTCTCTGGTCTCTCTCTGGTCCTCTCTCTCTGGTCTCTCTCTCTGGTCTCTCTCTGGTCTCTCTCTCTGGTCTCTCTCTCTGGTCTCTCTCTGGTCTCTCTCTCTGGTCTCTCTCTGGTCTCTCTCTCTGGTCTCTCTCTCTGGTCTCTCTCTCTGGTCTCTCTCTGGTCTCTCTCTGGTCTCTCTCTGGTCTCTCTCTCTGGTCTCTCTCTGGTGTCTCTCTCTGGCCTCTCTCTGGTCTCACTCTGGTCTCACTCTGGTCTCTCTCTGGTCTCTCTCTCTGGTCTCTCTCTCTGGTCTCTCTCTCTGGTCTCTCTCTCTGGTCTCTCTCTGGTCTCTCTCTGGGCTCCCTCTGGGCTCCCTCTGGTTTCTCTCTGGTCTCTCTCTGGTCTCTCTCTGGTCTCTCTCTGGTGTCTCTCTGGTCACTCTCTCTGGGCTCTCTCTGGTCTCTCTCTCTCTGGTCTCTCTCTGGTCTCTCTCTCTGGTCTCCCTCTGGTCTCTCTCTGGTGTCTCTCTGGTCTCTCTCTCTGATCTCTCTCTGGTCTCTCTCTCTGGTCTCTCTCTGGTCCCTCTCTCTGGGCCCTCTCTGGTCTCTCTCTGGTCTCTCTCTGGTTTCTCTCTCTGGTTTCTCTCTCTGGTCTCTCTCTGGTCTCTCTCTGGGCTTTCTCTGGTCTCTCTCTCTGGTCTCACTCTGGTCTCTCTCTCTGGTCTCCCTCTGGTCTCTCTCTGGTGTCTCTCTGGTCTCTCTCTCTGATCTCTCTCTGGTCTCTCTCTCTGGTCTCTCTCTGGTCCCTCTCTCTGGGCCCTCTCTGGTCTCTCTCTGGTCTCTCTCTGGTTTCTCTCTCTGGTCTCTCTCTGGTCTCTCTCTGGGCTTTCTCTGGTCTCTCTCTCTGGTCTCTCTCTGGTGTCTCTCTGGTCTCTCTCTCTGGTCTCTCTCTGGTCTCTCTCTGGTCTCTCTCTGGTCTCTCTCTGCTCTCTCTGGTCTCTCTCTCTGGTCTCTCTCTCTGGTCTCTCTCTCTGGTCTCTCTCTCTCTCTCTGGTCTCTCTCTGGTCTCTCTCTCTGGTCTCTCTGGTCTCTCTCTCTGGTCTCTCTCTCTGGTCTCTCTCTCTGGTCTGTGTGTGTTTCTATATGCGTGTGTATCAGTGTTTATGTGTGTGTTTGTATGTGTGTGTTCAGCTTCTTTAAACTGGTCTTACTCTCCTCATGTTTAAACACAGCTTGGGACTGCAGCGAGGGAGAGGTGGGGGGAGGAGGGGGGGGGGGGGGGGGGGAGGGGGGGGGGGGGAGGGGAGGGAGAGGACCAGAAGCAGAGGACCACAGAGCTCTCCCCAATTAGGAACCGAGGGGAGAGAGAGAGCTGTCGGAACGGCCTCGCCTCGCTGCCGTTTCCATGGAGACACGGTGGACCCCCGAGTGGAGCGCTGTACCTCCCCCCCTCCTCACCCTCCTCCCCCTCCTCACCCCCAGCATCACATCAGTCCATCTCTCCTGCTGCTACTGCTACTACTATTGCTACTACTACTACTACTATTGCTACTACTACTACTACTACTGCTACTACTATTGCTACTACTACTACTACTATTGCTACTACTACTACTACTACTGCTACTACTATTGCTACTACTACTACTACTACTGCTGCTACTACTGCTACTCCCTATTCTACCCAGTCTAAGCAGAGACACAGACCTCCTGCAGCTCATCTGGGGGAATCCTGAGGCGTTCCCCGCTGAGAGACAAACCTTTTGTGTCCTGGGTCTCCTCCTGGTCTCCTCCCTCTGTGTCCTGGGTCTCCTCCTGGTCTCCTCCCTCTGTGTCCTGAGTCTCCTCCGGGTCTCCTCCCTCTGTGTCCTGGGTCTCCTCCGGGTCTCCTCCCTCTGTGTCCTGGGTCTCCTCCTGGTCTCCTCCCTCTGTGTCCTGGGTCTCCTCCGGGTCTCCTCCCTCTGTGTCCTGGGTCTCCTCCGGGTCTCCTCCCTCTGTGTCCTGGGTCTCCTCCAGGTCTCCTCCCTCTGTGTCCTGGGTCTCCTCCGGGTCTCCTCCCTCTGTGTCCTGGGTCTCCTCCGGGTCTCCTCCCTCTGTGTCCTGAGTCTCCTCCTGGTCTCCTCCCTCTGTGTCCTGAGTCTCCTCCTGGTCTCCTCCCTCTGTGTCCTGGGTCTCCTCCAGGTCTCCTCCCTCTGTGTCCTGGGTCTCCTCCTGGTCTCCTTCCTCTGTGTCCTGAGTCTCCTCCTGGTGTCCTCCCTCTGTGTCCAGGGTCTCCTCCTGGTCTCCTCCCTCTGTGTCCTGGGTCTCCTCCTGGTCTCCTCTTTCTCGGTCCAGGCTCCTGGTCTCCTCCCTCTGTGTCCTGGGTCTCCTCCTGGTCTCCTCTTTCTCGGCCCAGGGTCTCCTCCTGGTCTCCTCCCTCTGTGTCCTGGGTCTCCTCCTGGTCTCCTCTCTCTCGGTCCAGGGTCTCCTCCTGGTCTCCTTCCGGTGGGACGTTCCCTGGGAGGCGTTCAGGAGTCTTCCGGAACAGATGCCATGAGCCACCCCAATGGTTACACTCTAGGTGGAGGAGCAGCAGCTCTACTCCGAGCTCCTCCCATGTGACGGAGATCCTCTATGTCTAAGGTAGCAGCGGCTCTACTCCGAGCTCCTCCCGTGTGACGGAGCTCATCTATATATAAGGGAGCAGCGGCACTACTCCGAGCTCCTCCCGTGTGACTGAGCTCCTCTATCTCTAAGCGAGCAGAGGCTCTACTCCAAGCTCCTCCCGTGAGACTGAGCTCCTCTATCTCTAAGCGAGCAGCGGCTCTACTCCGAGCTCCTCCCGTATGACTGAGCTCCTCTATGTCTAAGTGAGCAGCGGCTCTACTCCGAGCTACTAGCGTGTGACTGAGCTCCTCTATGTCTAAGGGAGCAGCGGCTCTACTCCGAGCTCCTCCAGTGTGACTGAGCTCCTCTATGTCTAAGGGAGCAGCGGCTCTACTCCGAGCTCCTCCAGTGTGACTGAGCTCCTCTATGTCTATGGGAGCAGCGACTCTACTCCGAGCTCCTCCAGTGTGACTGAGCTCCTCTATGTCTATGGGAGCAGGGGCTCTACTCCGAGCTCCTCCCGTGTGACGGAGCTCATCTATATATAAGGGAGCAGCGGCACTACTCCGAGCTCCTCCCGTGTGACTGAGCTCCTCTATCTCTAAGCGAGCAGCGGCTCTACTCCAAGCTCCTCCCGTGAGACTGAGCTCCTCTATCTCTAAGCGAGCAGCGGCTCTACTCCGAGCTCCTCCCGTATGACTGAGCTCCTCTATGTCTAAGTGAGCAGCGGCTCTACTCCGAGCTACTAGCGTGTGACTGAGCTCCTCTATGTCTAAGGGAGCAGCGGCTCTACTCCGAGCTCCTCCAGTGTGACTGAGCTCCTCTATGTCTAAGGGAGCAGCGGCTCTACTCCGAGCTCCTCCAGTGTGACTGAGCTCCTCTATGTCTATGGGAGCAGCGACTCTACTCCGAGCTCCTCCAGTGTGACTGAGCTCCTCTATGTCTATGGGAGCAGCGACTCTACTCCGAGCTCCTCCACTGTGACTGAGCTCCTCTATGTCTATGGGAGCAGCGACTCTACTCCGAGCTCCTCCACTGTGACTGAGCTCCTCTATGTCTATCAGAGCACCCACTCCGCAGAAAAAGCTAATTTCAACGCTTGTATCCGCGATCTCATTACCCAAAGCTCGTGACGAGAGGTGAGGGAGGGGAGCTCTGACTGCAGACGCTGCTCTCTCTGCACCACAACAGTTTGATACAGCGACCACATCACTGCTCACGCTGCACCGATCCGCCTTCAGTCTCCCCGCCATCCGTCACCGAGAACAAGACCCTGAGACCAGGACCTCCGATTTGGAGCTTCAGCTGCTTCAAACCGTCCCAAAGTTCTCTACTCTACTCTACTCTACTCTACTCTACTCTACTCTACTCTACTCTACCCTACTGTACTCTTCTCTACTCTACTCTACTCTACCCTACCCTACTCTACCCTACTGTACTCTTCTCTACTCTACTCTACTCTACTCTACTCTACTCTACCCTACTCTACTCTACCCTACTCTACTCTACCCTACTGTACTCTTCTCTACTCTACCATACTCTACTCTACTCTACTCTACCCTACTCTACTCTACTCTACTCTACTCTACTCTACTCTACTCTACTCTACTCTACTCTACCCTACCCTACTCTACTCTACTCTACTCTACTCTACTCTACTCTACCCTACTCTACTCTACTCTACTCTACTCCACTCTACTCTACCCTACTCTACCCTACTCTACTCTACTTTACCCTACTCTACTTTACTCTACTCTACTTTACTCCACCCTACTCTACTCTTCTCTACTCTACTCCACTCTACTCTACCCTACTCTACCCTACCCTACTCTACTTTACCCTACTCTACTTTACTCCACCCTACTCTACTCTTCTCTACCCTACTCCACTCTACTCTACCCTACTCTACTCTACCCTACTCTACTTTACTCTACTCTACTTTACTCCACCCTACTCTACTCTACTCTACCCTACTCTACTCTACTCTACTCAACTCCTTTCTACTCTACTCTACTCTACTCTACCCGACTATACTCTACTCTACTCAACTCTATTCTACTCTACTCCACTTTACTCTATTCTACCCTACTCTACTCTACCCTACTCCACTCTACTCTACCCTACCCTACTCTACTCTACCCTACTCTACTTTACCCTACTCTACCCTACTCTACTCTACCCTACTCTACTTTACTCTACTCTACCCTACTCTACTCCAATCTACTCCACTCTACCCTACCCAACTCTACTCCACTCTATTCTACTCTAGCCTACTCTACCATACTCTACTCTACTCTACCCTACCCTACCCTACTCTACTCTAGTCTATTCTACTCCACTTTACCCTATTCTCCTTGGAGTGTCCTGTGTAACCAGTACAAGGTCCATCTGTAGCCCCTCTTGGTCCTGGTTCTATCCAGGCCGAGCTGATTCTAAAGTGTTCAAGCTGACAGTGATCGGCCAGAGTGCTGCTGGAAGCCATGGTTACCAAGGAATTTAGAGTAGAGTAGAGTAGAGAGTTTGGTTTGATGGTCTGTCTCTCTCGTCTCACTCCACTGGGTCCCGAGGGGCCTGCACCAGACGGCTTTGAACCATCAAGAACCAGGGAACATCACACAACATCATGTGTTGTATCATGTGTTGTATAAAAGAGACGGGAGAGAGACCAGAGTGAGACCAGAGTGAGACCAGAGAGAGACCAGGGAGAGACCAGGGAGAGACCAGGGACAGGTTTTTATTTATCAACATCCATCCATCCATCCATTATCTTCCCCTTAATCCATTTCTGGGTTGGGGGGGTGGCAGTCAGAGCTGCACCCAGTACACAGAGCACCAGCCTCTCACTGATCCTCCTGCAGGTGGTGAGTCCACAGGAGCTGAGATCTTTCAGTTGGGGCTTTGGGCAAAGTGGGGTTAAGTGTCTTGCCCAAGGACACAACGACAGCAGTCATCAGTGGGAGTCGTGAAGTAGGTCTTACGGTGGACTCGAACCCACGACCTTCAGGCCCAAAGGCCAATGCTCTACCAACTGAGCTACTGTCGCCCTATTTATCAACATGTATGACATTTATCACATGTATGACATTTATCACATGTATGACATTTATAACATGTATGACATTACTCACATGTGTGACATTTATCACATGTATGACATTTATCAACATGTGTGACATTTATCAACATGTATGACATTTATCACATGTATGACATTTATAACATGTATGACATTACTCACATGTGTGACATTTATCACATGTATGACATTTATCAACATGTGTGACATTTATCAACATGTATGACATTTATCACATGTATGACATTTATAACATGTATGACATTACTCACATGTGTGACATTTATCACATGTATGACATTTATCACATGTATGACATTTATCACATGTATGACATTTATCACATGTGTGACATTTATCAACATGTATGACATTTATCACATGTATGACATTTATCAACATGTATGACATTACTCACATGTGTGACATTTATCACATGCATGACATTTATCACATGTATGACATTTATCACATGTGTGACATTTATCAACATGTATGACATTTATCAACATGTATGACATTTATCACATGTATGACATTTATCACATGTATGACATTTATCAACATGTGTGACATTTATCAACATGTATGACATTTATCAACATGTGTGACATTTATCAACATGTGTGACATTTATCAACATGTATGACATTTATCACATGTATGACATTTATAACATTACTCACATGTGTGACATTTATCACATGTATGACATTTATCAACATGTATGACATTTATCAACATGTATGACATTTATCAACATGTATGACATTACTCACATGTGTGACATTACTCACATGTGTGACATTTATCACATGTATGACCTTTATCAACATGTGTGACATTTATCACATGTATGACATTTATCAACATGTGTGACATTTATCAACATGTATGACATTTATAACATGTATGACATTTATAACATGTATGACATTACTCACATGTGTGACATTACTCACATGTGTGACATTTATCACATGTATGACATTTATAACATGTATGAAATTACTCACATGTGTGACATTACTCACATGTGTGACATTTATCACATGTATGACATTTATAACATGTATGACATTAATCACATGTGTGACATTTATCAAAATGTGTGACATTAATCACATGTGTGACATTTATCACATGTGTGAAATTTATCAACATGTATGACATTTATCACATGTGTGACATTTATCAACATGTATGACATTTATCACATGTATGACATTAATCACATGTGTGACATTTATCACATGTGTGACATTTATCACATGTGTGGCATTTATCACATGTATGACATTAATCACATGTATGACATGTATCAACATATGTGACATTTATCACATGTATGACATTTATCACATGTGTGACATTTATCACATGTATGACATTTATCACATGTGTGACATTTATCACATGTATGACATTTATCAACATATGTGACATTTATCACAAGTGTGACATTTATCACATGTGTGACATTTATCAACATATGTGACATTTATCACATGTGTGACATTTATCAACATATGTGACATTTATCACATGTATGACATTAATCAACATGTATGACATTTATCACATGTGTGACATTTATCACATGTGTGACATTTATCACATGTATGACATTTATCACATGTGTGACATTTATCAACATGTGTGACATTTATCACATGTATGACATTTATCACATGTATGACATCTATCACATGTGTGACATTTATCACATGTGTGACATTTATCAACATGTGTGACATTTATCACATGTATGACATTTATCACATGTATGACATTTATCAACATGTGTGACATTTATCAACATGTGACATTTATCACATGTGTGACGTTTATCAACATGTATGACATTTATCAACATGTGTGACATTTATCAACATGTGTGACATTTATCACATGTATGACATTTATCACATGTATGACATTTATCACATGTATGACATTTATCAACATATGTGACATTTATCACAAGTGTGACATTTATCACATGTGTGACATTTATCAACATATGTGACATTTATCACATGTGTGACATTTATCAACATATGTGACATTTATCACATGTATGACATTAATCAACATGTATGACATTTATCACATGTGTGACATTTATCACATGTGTGACATTTATCACATGTATGACATTTATCACATGTGTGACATTTATCACATGTGTGACATTTATCAACATGTGTGACATTTATCACATGTATGACATTTATCACATACATGTTGATAAATGTCATACATGTTGATAAATGTCACACATGTGATAAATGTCACACATGTGATAAATGTCACACATGTGATAAATGTCATACATGTGATAAATGTCACACATGTGATAAATGTCACACATGTGATAAATGTCACACATGTGATAAATGTCATACATGTTGATAAATGTCACACATGTGATAAATGTCACACATGTGATAAATGTCATACATGTGATAAATGTCACACATGTGATAAATGTCACACATGTGATAAATGTCACACATGTGATAAATGTCATACATGTTGATAAATGTCATACATGTTGATAAATGTCACAAATGTGATAAATGTCACATGTTGATAAATGTCACACATGTGATAAATGTCATACATGTGATAAATGTCACACATGTGATAAATGTCATATATGTTGATAAATGTCACACATGTGATAAATGTCACAGATGTTGATAAATGTCACACATGTTGATAAATGTCACACATGTGATAAATGTCACATGTTGATAAATGTCAAACATGTTGATAAATGTTATACATGTGATAAATGTCACACATGTTGATAAATGTCATACATGTTGATAAATGTCATCATTTATCAACATGTATGACATTTATCAACATCTGTGACATTTATCACATGTGTGACATTTATCAACATATATGACATTTATCACATGTGTGACATTTATCACATGTATGACATTTATCACATGTGTGACATTTATCAACATGTGACATTTATCACATTTGTGACATTTATCAACATGTATGACATTTATCAACATGTATGACATTTATCAACATATATGACATTTATCACATGTGTGACATTTATCACATGTGTGACATTTATCACATGTATGACATTTATCACATGTGTGACATTTATCACATGTGTGACATTTATCAACATGTATGACATTTATCACATGTGTGACATTTATCACATGTGTGACATTTATCACATGTGTGACATTTATCACATGTATGACATTTATCACATGTGTGACATTTATCACATGTGTGACATTTATCACATGTGTGACATTTATCAACATGTATGACATTTATCAACATGTATGACATTTATCAACATGTGTGACATTTATCAAATGTGTGACATTTATCAACATGTATGACATTTATCACATGTATGACATTTATCACATGTGTGACATTTATCACATGTGTGACATTTATCACATGTGTGACATTTATCACATGTATGACATTTATCACATGTGTGACATTTATCACCTGTGTGACATTTATCACCTGTGTGACATTTATCACATGTGTGACATTTATCACATGTATGACATTTATCACCTGTGTGACATTTATCACATGTATGACATTTATCACATGTATGACATTTATCACATGTATGACATTTATCACATGTATGACATTTATCACATGTGTGACATTTATCACATGTATGACATTTATCACATGTGTGACATTTATCACATGTGTGACATTTATCACATGTATGACATTTATCACATGTGTGACATTTATCACCTGTGTGACATTTATCACCTGTGTGACATTTATCACATGTGTGACATTTATCACATGTGTGACATTTATCACATGTATGACATTTATCACATGTATGACATTTATCACATGTATGACATTTATCACATGTGTGACATTTATCACATGTATGACATTTATCACATGTATGACATTTATCACATGTATGGACATTGGTCTCAACTCATGTGTATATCTTGTGTTTTAACTGTTGATTCTCTGATCTGTGTTGGTGATTTCAATGGTTTTGTTAAGTCTTCTGTCATGATTTAGGGCTATAAAAGAATTTGTTGTTGTTGGTGACCATCAGGATTGATAAACAGCAACATAACATCATGACTTAATCCGTAAAAAACTCAGAAAACTCATAAAACATGTTCAGATCTTTCATAAAAATCGTCAACACTCTTCAGTAAAATACCAAACTTCATCAGTCGATGGTGGTTCTCAGATATTGCTTTAAAAACAGCCTAATCCACTTCTCCGTGTTGATTTCTTCAGGCTGCATTTCTTGTGTCGAGCCATGAATTCTTCTGCGACGGGTCTTTCAATCACACGTTTCAGCTTTGGAGAGGACGACGGTTTTGTCCATTTCTCAGCAGCTTACAGCTGATTGGAATCAGGGGTTGTGCAGATGGTCCATGTGTGCTGATCCAGATGCATGGTTTCTCTTGAGGTTTTTCAACACATTTTTGTGTAAACAAAAGTCTTCTGTTCT